GTGACGGCATTCGCCCTTCAAAGACGCTTCTTAAGGCGAGGGTCTTTTGTGCGAGCAGACCATTGATTGGAAGCTATAGAGAGCTAAATCACACAACTTTGATCCCTTTTTTCCTCCTAATATTCAGACCTATTCCTTCCTCCCTGGACCCCTTTAAAGTAGTTGAGAATAATTATGAGTTTAGTTGGAAGGGGTGTGTGTGTTTGAAGAGGTAAGATAGGTTTAAAGATTCCCTCTTGGGTGGATATATGCAGCGCAGAAGAGCTTTTGATAGAAAGATCTATGGGCAAACACTTGTGGACTAAGACAAAGACAGACAGACACACACACACAAACACACACACTCACACACACACACAACCAAGCAGGGAGGGCCGGGGGACAGAAGCAGATGTGGGGCTGACTGTGCCAGGTTTTTGTCTCCCAGAATCAAATGGGAGATGATTTTCTGAGGACCAAAAGGAAGAATGGAAAATTACAAAATAAACAAGTGCTCTTTTCTCTCTCTTCTCTTCCTTTCATCTGACCCTCCGCAAATTTTCTGAGATACTGATTTTGGGGTTTTCATTAGTTGTCAGTTATAATCATCAAAAGTAAAAGGAATGAACACTTGAAATATATCAGTCTGTGTGGAATGAATGTATACATTATACAAGTTTCACTTTTTGAATGGAATTACTGAAATAAATCAACTTTTTGATGATATTCTAATTATATGACCATCACCTGTATGTCTTGTGTACCTGAACCTGTGCATCAATGCATCTGCTGAAGAAATTTAAGAAAGATGAAGCTGACCACAACCAGTGTGCTACCTGTATGTGATTCACACCACTGGTAAGTGAAGTAAGTAAATACAAACTGAAAAGTTGCAGCAATACAGAATGTACTGATTGCACAGACAGTGAGAGCAGTACATATCACTAACATGAAGGAAAGGTAGAGCATTCAATTCCTATGTTTAAACATAAACGTATCCAAAGCTTAAACCAGTTTTTAACTTGTCTTACTTTGAATGAAGCTGTGACTGCGTTACACTAACCAAGGCTAGCCAAGTCATTTAACCAAGGCACACTACTGGAGATTATGTGCTCTTGTCAGAAGGTCCCATTTGAAATATAATTGCCTAATAAAAATATAAATTGTGTTCATGATTGCTTTGTTTATTGGTTTGGTTTTAAAGTTTGAACAGGTCCAGAAGGTCAAAACATTGGGAGAACATCAATAGGAAAGTAACCTAGTTCTTTACCCCCATCCTCTTCATTTGTGTTGCAAAACTGCTAATTAAATACATGCTAATTAAAAATTAATTAACACTAAAAGTTAGTGTAGTCTTGATATACAAATTAAAAAGTCTTAATGATTCCACAGATTTTGCTAAAGTAACAGTGCAGTTTTTTTACATTTTAGCAACAGTAGACTATAACTTGGAAACTCACAGAGGGAATGAGAGCAGCAATCAAACCTGTGGTTGTTCTTCTGTATTTATTTAAAGGTACAGCAAAGAGAAATGAGGAAAAGGGGGGTGTAAATAGAAAATAGCAGTAATAGGGAACACAGTGCGAAGATAAGGATGATTATGGGGGAAGGGAAAGGTGTTTGTTAGAGAGCAAATGGAGCAGGTGGAAAACAGATATATGGATATACAAATAGTGTAAAGAGGGAGAGATGGAAGATGGTAAATGTAGCTGTAACCCAAATGGCCTCTTGATGCTCTGTTAGACATAGACGCACACACACACACACACACACACACACACACAGGAGTGCAAAGTCAGTAAGTGGTCACAGCACAAAGGCCTTTCTGGCATCACATCACCTGTGTACCTTATGAAATGCAAACATCTCCAAACAGGAGAATCAAACTTTGTCCATTTCCACAGAAACATTAAAATACACAATATGTTAATGGTTCCATTATTATTGATCATAAAAAAAAAACTTTTGTTTCTCACTATGGTATGATTAGGGTATAAGAGAAAAAAACTGCAGAAGATAAACAGCATGTACGTTTATGAATAGATTCTGATACTGTAAATACAAAACCCATCATATAGCAAAATTTTAGCATTAGCTCAGTGTAAGTGATCAAAGAGACGAAAATGTTGAGTTATCAAGATGTTTGAGTTGTGCACTTAAAAATGAGATATCTCAGACATGGTTGATACAACTGAGGCATTAAAAATGATGCAAACTAACAGAAGTGACTGAGTAAGTTAACACACTTAGCCTGTGACTCATGGATGAACATTATTGACCTTCCATGGTGTATCTGTAAACAGCCCAGTATTACCAGGAGATATATATTATTCTTATTGGATTATTCTGGAGCACACTATTTACATCTCATGTAATTTTTCAGTGCAAATCATATTTTCCTTTCCTGGATGTTGAAATGAATAATAGAAAATAAATAAATTTGTCATTGAACATCCAAAAATGTTGTCACTGAATGTAATTCAGGGTTTTGCCTGGTAATAGGGTTGTGGCAAACACATCTTTTAATGTATATTAATCTGTATATTTGGGAATTTATAAATAAATACTATTATGCTCTTTATAGGTTAAAAGACAGGTGCACTTATTCATAGAGGTAGGATTTAATGACAGGCAGTAGGCCTTCTTCCAAACCTATGATCTTCCTGATAAAAACCTCACATTCCCTACTGATTGTGTACCGATTCTGTTCCTTGAACAGAGACACAAAGGTAAAAGCAATATGTTCAGCTGCAAAAATAATAGTCAATGGAAAATCAGCCAGCATCGTTTCTCATTTCCTATAAAATAATCCTTCAGCATCAACTGACAAAAGCGGTTACTTTTAAATAAAGGTCAGGCAGACACGGAGTCTGGTGTGTATATTGTGAATTTTGACAGGACAGCAAACCTTGTGAATGGTGAAGTTTTATTCTAGTCGCTCTACAGAGAGAGGGAGAGAGAAAGAGAGAGAGAGTGTGAGAGAGAGAGAGAGAGAAACAGTGCCACTGTACAGAAGAGCTCCTGTGAAATTCACACAAAAAATATTGTTTTTACTCTTTATCATTTATAATTCTCCATGATGATGTATTCCAGTATGAATTTACAAGCGATGTATACAGGTGTCATTTCTAAATATATTCAAAATAGTTCCTTAAAAGTCTTTGAGGAAGTATTAGTTTAAAAAAAAGCTCTATTCTTACAGCAAACAATAAAGAAAGAGGTCTCGTATCTTTGGAGGGATAGCAGACTCAAAGTAGAGGGTTGCTTTTTTCTTTTATCTTCTTTACATTTGAAGTCCTGACTACACATGAAGGAGAGGGAAGAGAGAAGCAGAGCTGGTGATACAGTAATTCTCACCTGCCATTGGAGGAAGAGCAAGGATGTCCCATCATACTGAACCAAGCCCTGACCCCCGACCCGCGACCCCATTGGGCAAAACATGATCTGATAATGACCAGCCAATGAGGAAGTTGCACTTGGGTCAGGTCCTCGCCTTCTCCCCCAAAACAGCAGCAGCATCTTCATCGTGTTAAACATAGATCATTTTTTTCTCTCAAATATGTATATACTCACACCTGGTTACAACGCATTAGTGATCATAACATTATAACAAAAATAACTAACAAAAAAAGAAACATAAAACATTAAAATTGTTACATCTGGGGTTGCATGCCATCACCTCATTATTTATCATTAAATGTAATTAAAATACATTTTTGTCATTAAAAAGAGCAGGGTTGTCATCACAAGGGTGTGTCTGAGTGTGTTTGTGTGTGTGTGTGTATGAACATAAATCAGCATCAGTTTATGTGACAGTTCTCTAAAAGTAGAACAAACAGAACAAATCATCATGAGTTCATAAAATGCGAGGGTGCCGTCTGATATTTTTACATGTGCATATTGTTCACTTGTCAGGTCACGCAAGCAGCATGTGGCGATAAATATGAGAATAATAATAAATATGCAGATACAAAAAAAGAATAATGTTGCTCATCAGTCAACATTGGGTGAGCTGATTGGGAATCAAGGAGAGGTTCACTGCAGTATTCCAAGAGTACAAAAGGGTGATATGACCATGGTTGTTAAAGATGGAGCTTCAATTGAAACACAGTGGCTAATGCAGTTGACTGCCATTAAAAACCATGGAGAGGAAAGAGAGAGATTCCTGTTTGAGTAATCCATATAAAGGTAGCTTTTCAGATTTCAGACCCTTAACAGACATCCTCCATTCTGTTAAGGGTACTCGGTTTGGCAAGGAGTGGAGCTGCACTCAACACACCCCTCACTGAGCAAAACGATCTAAGCCCCCTAACACCATCCCTCCTTTCCCTCCTTCTCTTCCTCTTCTTCTCTCTTTACTTGGGTTGCATGAGCTCGGGCAAAGAGCCGAACTGGAAGACCTAGGACTGGTAAACATCAAAAGGAGAAAAGTTTGATCCTGCTTTGCAGCCGCTGTAAATCATGGTGAAGGTTTTTTTTTTCTTTTATGTTTTTTTTTAATACAAAAATCTGTGCCGCATCATGTTCTGTTGCTACGGTTGAAGCTCCCCCAAAACGCACAGAATCATCCTGAGGTATTTTATTTGAGACAATTTGGCTTTGTGAATCCAATCAATCAAGCAAATCAATCAGTCAGTTAAGATGGATACATGATATTTCATTTGACTGTACAATTTTGTACAGTATAATGCTACAAAAAAGTGTTTTGTGGGCACGCGAATACATGGAAGTATGTGCATACGCAAGTCTTTTTAGCTAAGTGTTATCAAGAAGAACAAAAAACAAATGCATAAACAATCAGATTAGGAACCAAGTTTTCAAGTGACGACTTCAAGCTTACCCAAGTTCTGCCATGCACACACACAACTTACTCCCCACTAAGATGGATACATGATTGATCAGCATAACAGTGTTGCCTCTTTGGCTCCATCCATCTCCATCTTGCCTCGCCCACCCACCCATCCCACATTCCACCCACCCATCCCACATTCCACCCACCTCTCCCATCCCACATCCCGCCCAAACAACACTATGAAGGTAAACAAGGGATCCATCTCAGGTAGTCTTCAGATCCTCAGGAGCCTTGGTTGATTGTGGATCAACAGTAATTGAAGATCAATAATTGTTAACCCAATCCCCAGTTAGACTTCAGTGGTTAGATACAGTATAGCACTGCTACTGCTGTACCAATCAAAGTTCAATGTCAAAAAAGAACTAAAGAAATAAAATAAAGTAGTTCCTATAGTTGTCCAACACTCTAGTGATGTGTCATGTTGATCGAGGAAGGGAAGAAGGAAGGAGGAAAGAAGGAAGGAATTGTCTTTTTTTTATAGCTAATACCCTGTTTCTCAGTGGCAGGGAGGTCGGAAGACAAAAACACATCAGCACCCAACTCAAACAAGGGGGTCATGGACTCAGTTGTCATTTCATCCTTTTCTCCCTTGTTTATCTCCTCTTTGCTCTCTTTCCTTCCACCACTTTCTTGCTCTTTTGCAGCAGGAGCCACAGCATGACACTGATTTACTAAGCACAAACGTCAAGGATAAAGGTTTCGATTGTACAAGTATCTATCCACCATATATGGAAAGACACAGTTCCTTTTCAAAAACATGTAAAATATGTGTCTGAGAGTGTATTTGTGTGTAATTTGTCTTTTCCAACACAGAAAAAATCAACACATGCAAAATAATCTACCACTCCTGATGGTATTTTTCAGAAAGCTATGCTTCTCCAAAAGCAAATGTGGGAGAGAGGTTTAGAAACTAATGGCTATTGTGCTACCAAATAAGCAAACACTAAAATCCTACATAGGGGGATCCGGATGCCAGAATCCCTAATAAATCTTATAGTTTAATAGAATAAAAAAGCAATACTTTGCAATTATTTTTCTATGCGCAGCGCCACAAATGAAATGCCCATCATTTGCCCTTTAGGTTTCCCTGCTTGTCTGTCCTTTTCTATCATTCTGTCATTTTGTCAGTCTTTTTTTTTATCTGTCAGTCTGTAAACATTATTCATTAATAGCACCTACATTACTCTCAGCTTCAAGTCACTATCATGTCCCTTAGGCTTAACACATAAAACCAAATTCTGACCAAGCACGCTGATGCCTAACTGCCGAAAACTGCTGGAGGCTGCACTCTGCTCATCCCTTTTTTCCCTTTCTCTCCTCTTTCACTGCCAGGTGTCTCAGTGGCCATATTTGTCAGAGTAACTAGCAGCAGACCGTTGGACTAGCTCACTGTGACGTCTCTGCCCTCCTGGGATGCCTCCATGTCTGGCCACGACATCAAACGTGTCCATCTGGTCTCCCTGTCAGGCCTGTTCTCCTCAACTAGCGAGCCCCAAGCTTGACAGTGGAGGTGGAACGGAAAAAGGACTAGGGGTTGAAAGAGAGGTTATCTCTTCTCTCTCTCCTTCTAATTCCTCTCTCATAAGATTTCTTCCATCCTCACCACACACAAAAACTGCCTCTTCCCCAACAATGCCTTTGGAGTCCTCCTTCACTGTAACTTAAACTTTCTCTGCCCACTAATGGGACTATGCCATTTCCTATCCCTTCTTAAAACCTAGGGGGTTAATGACTCCCCTCACCTTTACACCAGGATACCTTATGGCAGCGTGCTGGCCATGCAGCCAACTCATCGGTACATGGCAGAGAATGGACAAAAATGGTGATATCATCTGCAAAGAGAGTAGTAGTAGTAGTACCGTCATACCCAAGTGGGCACAAGTTCTTTTGGATTACAATGTCGAAGAGAAGAAGAAAAACGTAGTGTGGCTATGGCATCCCTTGGTGGATAACATAGTAAATAAATTATAATACAAACCCAGAGAGGAGTAAAGAAGAGAGAACACAACATTTCTTATATCAACTAAACATCTGACTCCAGACTGGGGATTTTTTTATACACCCGTCTATTGCTGAACTGGGCTGAGTTTAGGACGCCACGTGGGGCCGGGTATGCACTAGTCTTATTGGCTGAGTAAGGCATCACATGCTCTTTATTGTACATGTCATTGGCTATCCGTCCGTCCCGTGAGCAGTATGAAGTGGTGGATTTAACGGATGAGCGGAGATTGTTCGCATCGTTGCGTGTTTTGATGGGGGGCGCTCCAAGGACTGCTGCAGGTGAGGCCACTGCCAGCTGTTTGTAAATATCAGAGGAGCTACGCCCATGGACCAGTCTGCTGCTGGTGTCATCCCTCAGCGAGTGGCTGAGGAAAGGGTTGTCCGAGCCATGGGCCGGATACAGGGACTTGCTCCTCTTGCTTTCCTCCAGATTGTGGTTAAACAGCATTGACTTGGAGCCTGTGCCAAACAGTCTGCCAGAGTAGGGACGCATGCCGAAGAGGTTCGCATAGTGCGAGTCAGATGTGGAGTCCAGGAAACGATCCTTCTCCTTGAGGCTGACGCTGCGCGCAGGTCGGCCCAGGTCTACATCCTTGGGCTTTTCTAGCATGATGTTATCAAAGGAGTGCTGACGACTCAGCCTCAAGCGGTTTCTCTTTTGGACATGCGGTCCATCCGTCTGAGGCCAATACAGACCAAACATTTCATCTGGTTGCTGCTGCTGTTGGTGGTGCATGGTGGGACTGACCAAGGGGTCTGAGAGGAGCTGGTCCTCAGTAATGTCATACAGGTTGGCCATGTGGAGGCATGCTTCACACCTATTATAAGGTGAGCGTGTGGCAGAAGCTGAGGCCGAGGCGGTAGGGGTGTACGGCCCTCCTGGTGGGTAGCTAGCTGGCACTTTGGACAAGCAGGAACGACAGTGTGTCTGTTTGTAGCGATCAATGGATTCATGTGGGGAAAGGTTTTTTTCTTTCAGGCTGTAGTGTTTAGAGTAAGTTGGATCTGGTAGAAGATCTGAGTCGGTGTGATGCAAAGGCGAGGAGTTCAGATGAATGATTGGCTGCTCACACTTCCTATAGTTGTCACTGTGGTCGGAGTAGATCTCGGGATAATCCAAATCGTCAGCAGCAAGGCCACGACTCTCGCGGTAATGAATGGGATCTGAGTGCAGGCTCAGCTCTCGGTCTGAGTCGATTGTGTAGATTTTCTCTCCTCCTCCTCCTCTCCCGGTTTGGTTGGTTCCACCGCTGACCTGCTTTGTCTTTAAGTAGGACAGCTCCACCTCACTGCAGTCCCTTGGGTATTTTGACGGCACCGATCTTTTTTTTAAGTTGTCCTTGGGCTTCAGGTGCTTGTTGTTTTCTGGGTCCTTGTAGGAGGCTGCCCTGCTAGAACAGTCGGAGATGTCAGAGTGGGCTGTGTCCTCAGGGATGTAGCGCTGTGTCTTCATTGACATTCGTGGGTCTGGCATCAGCATGTCAGGCATCGGAGGGGGCCCGGGTGGCACAGAACGAAGTGTGTCCACTGACTTCTTCCACAGGGTCCTGGGCGGCTTGGCGTTTGTCTGGACTGTGTCAGCAGTTACTGCCACCTCTACTGTGTTAGGATTGGCATCATTCAGGGTCAGAGGATGTTGGCCTCCCTGAAAGATGTAGTTGTTAAGGTGGTCTTTGTGGCGGTTAGCAAGATAAGACTGCAGGTCACCAGTGTCCCCATAGATCATATCTTTGGGCGCATAGCTTCGGTTGTCAGCATAAATAAAGTTGCCTTTCTCTGCCATCATGTCCATGATCATGGGGCCAGCTGAGTGCATGAACTCACGTTTGGGTGAATTCATGCGGGAGCCACCTAGGTTAGACATGTTGGTCATCTGTTTGGCTGACTTGATGAGCTTAAGCATTTTGTCCTGGGGGCTAAAGTCTAGATCTGTCTTTTTCTTCATGTCAATGTGGACTCCATGGATGCAACTCCAGATTCCCTGCATGGAGACATATGGATGAAGAAGTGTAGTGGAGAAGGAAATTAGGAAAAGTCAAGTAAAAAAAATGAGGATAGCAGGGGAAAATGAGAGGGAGGAGTGGGAGAGGGAAAGAGATAAAATGAAATGGGAGAGGGAGAATCAAACATTAAAAGGGATTGAGGGAGAAATGGAGAGAGAACAGCAGAATAATGATTACTTATCTAATCTGGCCAAACATATTCGTGCTCTGTATGTTTTATTAAAATGTATGAAATTGGTAGTGACTCAGCAAATCACAGAACCAACAGTTTTTATCACCATTAACTTGAAACTGTAATAAATTAGGCGTTCTTTGCTTTTCTCTGAAGCATACTTGTTCAATTAACAAAGAAAATCCAACTACACCCTTAATAAATATGGAAATTAGTTTTGTATCAGATATGAATCTTCTAAACAAGCATTTATGATCGAGTTAAGAGGATGGTACATTAAAAACAACATGATCATTTAGGAAGTCCTTAAGTGGAAAGGATTTAGAGTTAATCAAAAAAAAAAAAAACATACACAGAATATTGCTAAATAAATAATCCAACCAGGTTAAATAGCCCCACTATCACCACAAACTCCTGGCTTTAATAAACCAATGAAATACCAATGTATATTTTCTGAAGGGGACAAAATGTCAACAAAAAAGTATTCTGCAGCTCCATCAATTTTACAGTACAACTGTTAACAAAAATATATAATGTAATATAGTTGATAGAAATTATCCAGACAAAATAATGTGAATAGAATATGAGAAACTGGTTAGATTATCTCTCAACTCTATGCCCCATGCCTCCAGTCTCTCCAGGGGTGTCACATTCTTTGAGAAGGAACAACAGAGAACAGGATAAATTAACATCACCACAACTGTGAGGGAGGTTAATAGAACCAATCTTTTTGTTTGGACTATCAGCTAAACAACAGCTGAAAATATAATGCCAAAAAGCAATGTCGTAGAGCTCTTATTTTATGGTTTACAGAACAAAAGCAAATTATTTCCTAACTGATCTCCCAGTTCACAAATACATCCTTAAAAGGTATTTATCACATTTATCAAATTCAGTGCTTTCCGGTTCAGCACACATTTTGTGGAGCTTATCAACACAAGATAGGCAATTGAGGATGTCTTTTGCCCTAAATCAATCTTGAGAAGGCCTTTGAAATAACATATTTTTCAAGAACCTCACTTCATCTTCTCTAAAAGTTTTTCTCTAGTCACTACCCCCCTCTGTTAACTTTGAAAACAGTCACACTCTGCCTCAAAAATAGTGCAGAGACACTGCAGTGCTTTTAAGGATGCACGTCCATGTCTTCTGTTCTCACACACAACAAGGAGGAATGCTGACCTTTTAACTGAATGAGAGAGGATAGATTGATTTAGTGCGGGTTGCCGTGATTTCACCCAAAAACATGCTGCAATTAGAATCTATTTTTGTCAAAATTCAGGGCTGCCTCGTGATCCCCTCCTCCCGCCTCCATCCCCATCCTCCCCTCTTATCCTCCTTTGTGCAGCCCTCCCTCCTTCCCCCTTGTTTCACTCACTTTCTTGGTCTCTTAGTTTAGTAGTAGCTCTCTGTATGTGTGCTTGCTTGCTCTGCTCTCTTATTCTGCTGATAGTAAATAGAACTAAGACAGTCCTGCCTGAACTGGATAATGCAGCATTAGCCCCCAGTATAGTTGCTGTGCCTTGGTGCACCTTATAGCCTTGAACACGACCACTATTAACCCTGTCACACCACCCCAGGCCCACATTTTCACACAGCCACATACTCACATGTTCATAGATTCAATAGCTTTTTTTCTGTGTGTTGATGTTGTTTTGCTTTGATTTTTGATTTGTAATTCTGTGTAAAGTCAAAGGACATTTTTGTTCTTCCAAACCACCAAGCAGGCTAAAGAAGGCTTGGAGAACATGCCTGCACACGCAAACGTACACCTCTTATACACAAACTGCTCCTTACCCGACTGATGGAGAAAAGGAGACCTGGCTTGCCAGTGCAGACCCCAGTGAAGCAGTATCTGAGCCTCCAGTAGAAGAGATGCTCAGAGACAAAGGTGATGAGGGAGAGCCCCATGGCCGTGGCCAGCATGTAGAAGACTCCAGCCATGTTGTCCACATCCAGCTGACTGGACATAACCTCGTTCTTCTCATTGTGGCAAATTCCTGTCAGCCACTGGGCTTCTAGTTCCTCCATTTCACCTGAAAAGCAAAAGAACACAGAGAGACTCAAATCCTTTAGCAAATGGCTTATTGGCGTCTGAAAAAGCCTTAAACCAATGAGTTTTAAGGGATCAGTTCAGATCACTCATTTTATTATCCCAGATTAGGAAATTTGCATCAAATTTCAGGTCACTATCAATGACGGGTCCAAGATATTTATAATGTTCTAAAAGTATAATGTTAATAAAAGTATGAGGTGGCTGGTGGGATGATTTCTTTCTGAAATCAGTGACTGTTTTCTTGGTTTTAGTGGCATCCAGTTAGAATCAGGCCCCTTCACACCATTTGAAAAACTCATTTAACACACGCCCATGATCAGATTGATCTTTATGGAGCAGACTGATGATCGCTGTATCAACAGCAGATTTTCAGGATGTGCCTATCCCCATGCTGGCCTCTACAGTCCTTGGTGTGAAGAATGTATAGCAAAGGGGACAGGACACAGCCCTGAAGAGATCCAGTAGAAGAGGAGCGCCGTTCTGACAGAAAGAAATTTGCTCTCAACCTCTGAGATCTACAATTTACATCAAGATTAAAATGAATAAGCAATTCCCTAGCTAACACATGTGGCTGGATTTTATTAAAATATTTATTAAAATTAAAAGTTGGGCTGGCATGTGTGCCAGGACCTTCTAGGTGTTTATAAAGGAAGTTGAGCAATGTGATTGAGGCATCCTTTACTCCCTTCCCAGCACTACAGTACATGCAAATTGCATGGGATCCAGAGGCTCTACCACCATTTCCAACAGTCCCCCTTTTACCAGCCTTTCAAATGACTTCATGACTAGTGATGTCAATGCCACTGGTCTGAAGTCATTTAGCTCCTTAAGGGTTTCCACAACAATGGACTCCTTCCGTAACGATGGAAACCTTTGCTGCTCCAGAGACATCTTAAATATTTAACAAAATACCTCACAGAGCTGTTCTGAACAATACCCAAGCAGTCTTCAAACAAAACGTAGAAGTTCAAACCTTGAAAATACATTATTTAAGGCAAGAAATTACATTCAGGGTTACTACTGAAAAGATCCTGTAAAAGCTGCTGTGGAATCTTATGTGCTTGCATTTTAAAATGTTTATTTTAAATAAATTACTGGTAAATGGTAGGGGTGTGATGAGATTTCTAGTCAGGGAAAAAGCTTTCAACATGGAGCTTCAGCATCATATGTTGCTTATTTGTGTGTGTTGTTAATGTATCAATGTGCTGTAAATGAACAAAACAACCAGTTGCAACGTGAGTCCAGACTCTGACAAAACAACGTCCTGATGGCCATAACTGGTTTTGTTCCAAGTATTTTGTCCACCTCGTCGAACCAAGGGCATTTGTCCTTCTCACCACTCGTACCTCCACTTTTTGTAAGGTTGTCTCGTACCTTTTATGTGCTGCTGTCAGAGTTTTTTTGCGCGGCACTCATTATCCCTCTCTTTCATTTTATCGCTAACCATTTTGTAGACTTCAGTATTCTTGTGTGAGGTGTCCAACAAATGGGAGATGTGTTGTTCTGACCAAATATCTATGAGGCATTTCACCTTCTTGAAGCACCAAGTCAACCTTCGATTCATTTAGTGTTGCTGTTGTCATGGAGATGTCCCACAATGCAAAGCGCGACCTGCACGCATGAGGTAGTGATGACGTAAGGAAAGCCCTGGAAGGGTATGTGATTTGGACCGCTTTTCAATTATAGTGCGGTGTGAACAGGATTGACATATTCAGATTGATTCGGAACAAAGTATCCGTTCTGGAAAAAAAGCAAAAGGGTCCATGTGATCAATCATGACTCAGCAGGAATGATATTAGATGAAAAAAGTTGATCTACAGGAGAAACAGATCTGAAAGCAACACAGAATGACGGAGAGCTGCACTGATTCTGTTATAGTGGAGCTATAGATTTTGAATTGTCACTTGCCAACTGAATTTTGTGTTTCTCTTTACATAAATAAATAAATAATTCAACAGAAGCCGGTGCAGAAAAAAATCATCAGAATGCAGGAAATAAAGTCTTTAATGCTCAAAATTTGCATATAATTTAGCATTAAAGATTTCTTAAAAATAGTGTTAAAATCTCATCTCGTTGTGATCTTGTGAACCCAATCTCAAATCTCATATCGTCTCTAGGGGTAAGTGTCGTCACACCCCTTGTAAATGGTGATATAATCTGCAAAGAGAGTTAGTTATTAGTAGTACTTTAAAAGCAGATGTGACATATATATGGGGTTCTAAACTGAATGTCAGTACTTTTTGATGTTAGTTGAGAATCTTCATGTATTTATATAATTTAAATAACAAAAGTAAGAACTAAAGATATTTGATTAATGTCTGTTGGGTGAATTTAGTTTAAAAATATCTGTGTCGACCTAAAAAGGATGAATTCTAATATTATATATTTTTGATGGTGTGTTTTCGGGGGCAGTTGTTGTTCAAAATACATTTCTTTAGGTATCCCCATCCACTGGGCGTCCAGTCCTCTCCATGTTGCCTGATAAGGCAAAGACATCACTTCTTTTTAAGGTTAGCAGGGGTTTTTTTAAGGTTAATGAAAGAAAGATACAATAGAAAGCAACAAAGACCTTATCTTTTCTCATTCCTCACTCTCTGTTCCCTTCCCTTAGTTCACCCTCCCTCTTTGGCTTCCTCTGTGACATTTGGTGCGTGGCTAATCCAATCTGTGTCATTCAGGGCTGGATAACTAAGGCTGCTAGTGAGGAAAGACAAATATCATGGTGGTGTTCGGCTGGATGTCCTAAGGGTGCAGACTCACTAAGACATAATTAACCCTTTAGAACAATTGAGGAAGGTCTGTCTCCTTAGATTTGCAAACAACATCTTTTTAGCATGACACAATACCTTGCTTGAAATTGCCAGCAAAAGAGAATCATGATAAATAAGATACTTAGGTATCAACAGGTTACTTTGTCTCTTTCTTAAATAGAGTGCATTCAAGGGAAAAGCTGTGGGGAGCTGTGACTGCCTGCACTGTTGCTCTGACTCCAAGGGGAAGTATTGCTGAAATTCAAATTTTCTTTTGCAGTCAGACAGCTCAAGCAAATAGTCTGGTGACCAGTCAGATGGAACACCTGAACACAAATTTGTACAAGTTTTCCCACACTTTCACAGCTTTTAAGCATCTAAGACTGCAAAAAAACCCATTTTTTAAATAATGTGTGTGTGTGCAGTAAACAAACTTTTTGAAACTCTGTCTGCTACATTACATTATTATAAACCACATTCGAGTTCAGGACATTCACTTAAAGTAACTTTCTTCAGAATGCTTATCCGCGCTTTGATATAGCCTAATTCTACCTCATAAATGGTCGGACACAAATAGCTCCTGGATTACATTTTGGTTTAACAAGTTACACTGTCAAAACCCATGAATTTAGGCTGTGGCCAATTCTCCAAGATGCATACACATTATCCAGATTGTGCTGTCTGAAGCTAGGTTTAGAAAAGTAGAGAGATCATAAATTTGTTACATTTCCAAACTATTGCAATACAGTATTCTGACTGTATGTATATTTTGTCAAAATTAAAAGATTTTTAATCCCCAAAGACAAAATGTGACCTGCTACATGTCTGTGTCAGATCTGTCTGTTTGTTCTTCACCTTCCTCTACTCTTCCCCAAACACATCTTTTATCTATCTTCTCTCTATCCAGCCATATGCTTTCCACCCACGTTGTGTCTATCGGATCAAGTAATCTCTGCCAAGACACAGAGTCACTGTCATCTATCAAGGAACTGCCCTCCTTTCACTCCCAATCTCTCTCTACCTTACACACACTCTTTCCTTGTCTTCCTCTCATCCCGTGCTCCCTGCCTCATCCTCTCTTTGACATCTCTCTGGCCATCTCATACGCGCACCTCCTATGTCTTTCTGTCTCTCTCGTCACTTTCTCCCTCCATCTGTTTCCTCTCTATCTTCCTCTGTCACACCAACATTGAAGTTTGAAAGCTTGGATGGAATTAATAATAATACGGAGAAAGAAGAAAACAAAGCAAAAACAAACAAAACACTGAGCCTGATTTTTGTCAAAAATGATCCAGCCATGAAATATGATGGACTGTAGCCTGCGTGCTCTGCAGCCCTGAGAAAATTTGGTTTGAGAGGATTATTGTGACACCAATATTCATTTAATCAACTTCAGTGCACTTAATGTGAGTGGCTGTGAACACTTGCATCAGCAAAATGCTTTCGATGTAAAATGTAAATGAATCTGTCGCTAAAAGCTCGAGCTGTCTTGCTTTCTCTCTGTTTTGCAGTAGGAAATTGTTTATGTAAGAACTTCTGAGGCTACTGTAATAAAGGAATGTGGTGATTCAGATAGAGTAATGCACACACACACACACACACACACACACACACACACACACACACACACACACACACACACACACACACACAGATCTGGTGCTGCAGAGAGGAATATATTAGAATAACTTACACTCTCTTGCCCTCTGTTTAGAGCAGCCTTTTGTGTCCAGAATAACATCAAAGGACTATTTATACTTCGCTGCTTTTCCTTTGTGCTGTCAGCAGACAAGGCAGTAGAGGTGTGTGTGTGTGTGTGTGTGTGTGTGTGTGTGTGTGTGCATGAATTACAATGCTGGCAAGGAACAATGTAACCTTTTGCCTTCTGGAATGGTGTCATGCACTTTGAATTTGTGTATGAGAACGCTGTGCGAGTGTGTTACTCACCATCTCCGATGATGGCCAGGATAGCCAGATCCACCTGTCGTTTCCAGTAGGAGCCTTTCTGTAGAGCTATGCCATAACCAGTGGTAGCAAAGATGTACCTGAGCACAAGCACATCCAAAACACACACACACGCACGCACAACACACACACACATAACACACATTTTAACCTTTAAGCAAATGTTTTCACCTTTATTTCTCCAGATGGTGTCACTGTGATTTGAAATATTTTTAAGGAGATAGTTCATGCATACCGATGCCTATAAATGTCATGAAGTGGAAATATAAGTCACAGATATACAATCAGAATTGCTAAAACAGTTAACAAAAATAAACAAGCAGTCCTAGTGTCTGGCCTTAAAGGGCAGGTTTGCATTTTTTCAGGTGTATCTTAAAACAATCCTGACATGCTCCATCTGTGCACTGAAACACTGTTGGCATCTTTTGTCATCCATCTGCTCCATACCAGCCACAAGGAGATCCCTTCTTATAGCAATGAATGAAAAGCCACAAGCCATTTTGAAGTTTCAGTAGTCTGTGTTAGACAAATCACGTATGCGTCTTGCAAATTTAGTTACTTTTTAACACAAAATTGACACTTTGTGTCACTATCTTACAGCTGCAGCTTAGCAAGGGAAGACTGTGGGAAACGCAAAGAGGAAATACTGCAATAAAAACACTGAAACTTTGGAAGATGCCAACTTGATTTGACTAGCTCAAACTGTTGAGGCCTCATATTATCTTTAGCTGAAGTCGATGCACAGAAAGTGGACTGCCGGTTTTCTCGCCATCACTTACACTGAAATTGCTTTAGAAATGGATCTCTTTGCTGCCAGTATAGAGCCGAGAAGCAATAGATAAATGACCAATAGTACTTTCAATGTTCATCTGAGAGTGTTGTTTTAAGACAGACTTAAAAAAAAGTGTACCATTAATCCATTAAATAATCTTTTTAAATACAATTATAAGCATTATAATCATTATATATATATATATATATATATATATATATATATATATATATACATATAATCCAAGAGTCTCATATTTAGTTATGCAATGACTGCTGCCTCTTTTCACTATATGACTTATTAAATCTCATTCTCATTAAAAATGTATTTGAATGTCAGTCAAACTTATGTGGTGGCACCACATAGCTGCACTCTGACACCTGAAGACATTGGTCTCGGGACCAGTAATTTCCTGGAGTCTCCGATGGTTTCCGGGCAACGGGTCCAGACCAAGAAATTATTCGGCACATAACCCCCCGTAAAATGCAGATTTGTTGTTTTTACTCTTCGGTTTTTGTACGGACTAAACAAACAAGATAAAACATGTTAATTAGTGAACTTTGGAGGAGCTGTTAAGCGAACTTTGGACAGAGCCAGGTTAGCTGTTTCCCCCCGTTCTCTGTCTTTCTGCTAAGATAATTTAGCTGGCTGCTGCTGGTAGCTTCATATTTACTGTACAAACATGAGGGAGGTCAATCTTCTCATCTGACTAACAACAAGAAAGCAAATATGCGTATTTCCCAAAATGTTAATCTTTTCTTTTAATACTTTTCCTGTGAAGACAAAGAACTCATTGAAAAAGCATTTTCTGAATCTTGAGGCTTGCATTTACATGTATCTGTGTATTACAACCATAAACAAACGTAAAAAAAAACTTTACACAACTTTACACAATGGTGTGGCCAAAATAATGGCAGGATCAGACCATGAAGTGAAGACAATCCACAACGAAAGTGTCTTTTTAAAGCATTGAAGCTTTAGTTACCCGCTGCCAATGGTCACCAGCTTACATCCCTCATCTCTGCCGGCCATGTAGTTCAACACTGCAGCATCATAGATAAAGGCATCCAGTTTACTGCAAAGAAGAAGAAAAAAGAACAGAGGAAAGAGACAGAAGAAAACAGACAGAAGGAGGGTATAAAGACAAAGCATGAGGGGTTTCAATCTTTGAGAGTGAGTGAGAAGTGCACAGGAGGCGACAGAAAGCAGAAGAGGGGCTTATTTTTCAGAAAGTGTTGTTTGCGGATCAATTCTAAAGTGTTAAATCATCTCCAATAGGACTGCAATCCAAGCGTAACCAAACACAGAGAGGACACAGTGGGGAGAGGCTGCGGTTCAATACAGCACGCTTCACTGGTGATAGGACCTTGGAGGCATATGGACAACCTAAACAAACGTTAGACAGACACAAACATTTACACCATCTCTCTCTCTCACTGTCTTTCGGCCTCAGTCCACACACACACACACACACACACACACACACATAAATAAGCCGGATGCGAAATGGAACATAGAACCGAAAATATCCCACACTCAGACTGACATTTTCAATGTAACTGATGCCATCACTAACCGCTGCTCTCTCACGCTGTCTGTGCCTGCACACACATGCTCTCTCTCTCTCTCTCTCTCTCTCTCACACACACACACACACACACACAAACACACACACAAGCAGAGAGCCCTGCTAATAGTGCAGTGACTGGTTGGCATTTACTGAATGTCAGATGCAGCCCTCTAACGGAGGCTCACAGCCGATAGTTCAGCTGTGTAATTAGCTTAACCCAGCACTGACTCCATCCACACACAGGCTGTGTGTCCAAACATGTAGGACTAGGCATGTTTGTCGATGTGTGTGCGTGTGAATACACATCACTATGTGTGTGATTGTGCACAAGTGGCTGTGAACTGGTCTGGTGCATATCTGTGAGCATGGATTTGTGTGTGCAGGTTTGGACACGCTATCCACACACACTGTGGCTCTAATGGCTTGGAGAGGGATTCAGCCATCACGATCTGTCACACCTTTATTTGAGTGAATAAAACGTAGCAGCACATATTTTCTTGGCACTTTCCATCTATACCTTTGAATGCAATCTTTAATACGGCAAAACGACCATTTAATATGACTGAATCTCATTTTACCCCACTACAGTGAAACTCTTCAGTAAAGTACATTAACCTGTCAGCAAATAGTATCCGGACCCCAAATAAAACATTTTAGCAGAACTACAATGTAAAACCTAATCCAAAACAACTTCACAAATTCACTCATTTCACACCTGTGAAATATCTTTATAATATAACATTTTGCCCACAAAAAAAAGTTTTTGTGGAGTTTTTGTGGAGTTGGAGTATTACCATGACATTTAGAGTGTCAAATCATAATTCCAAACTCTTAAACACCCACAAACAGAAAGGCAATATTATGTCTAGAATTCAGTTCGAGGTAAAACATGCAAGGCTGTCTTCATGCTGTCATAAAAACTCAAGGGGCTGCGTTGGAAAAAAAAAGAAGAATGAAATACAAACAGTCCCGGTTGAAGGCTCATGAGATGCCATGAGATGTCTTCATGTTGAATCTCTGGAAACTCTGGAAAGTTAACACAATAATAATAACGCCTCTGCTCCTCTGTATCCATATTTGAATGTTAAAAATGTTAATTTGCACAGTGCCATACAGTACATTGTACAAGGTATTCTATTTGTGTGCTTTTACATAGATGTGTATATGACTTGTCAATGAAGTGTGTTGCTGGATAACACTGAGGCAAAGGTTGTAGCATGATTAGTTTTTTTGCCAGACAACCCTTGTATCCCCTTTATGGGGATCACAACTTTGCCAAAATGAAAATTAATGAAGAGGCTGCATTTTTCTTTACAGTTCTGGAGTCAGTTTGGGAACTACAGCCTGTTGGCTTTTTTTGCAACAGATATGAACGCAACAGTTCAATGTTATTAAAATTATCAGTAACACTTCATGTTTACAGCTCGCATTGTAAAGTGGATTGGTTGAGTTTGATTATGGAGTTTGCCTGTGTGGGCTCTTGCTCATAGTCCAAAAACACTTTTTGTTGCAGTTTTGGTTTTTTGGCAACTGACTGGTGACCTACCTACAACAATTAGATGGTTTCTACAGTAAATACAGCTGAACTCAAAACCCCAGAGTGTCCATCTCACAGTCAATGCAGTTGTAAAAGATGATAAATTATATGTTTTCCCAGTGCATGACCTGTGTGCAGCCCTCAAGGTTGGCCACGCCCATGTACTCCGTAATATTAGAATAGGTACCCAGTAGTAAAAAGTACCTACAGCACAAGTTCCTTGTCATCCTGTAGGTCCTACTGTATCCCATAATAATAGATACCTGTTAGTTAAAAAGTACCTACAGTCAGGGTTTCCATTATATGGTAATTAGTGTTTTTTTACAGTGGAAATCTTTTGAAGTCTGACAAATTAGAATCTCTCCGGTCATAATGTCTGGAGAAATGAGATTTACAGCGCTCCAAACTTATGAAGGCATGAATTTCTCAATGGCCTGCAAAGTCAGGTATTTCAGTGAAATGTATCCTGAGTGGGAAAAAGTAGCCAAAACGCTTTATGGCACTAAGACACACACCACCAACTATGTCACTGCTATTATGTAACTGTATCATATTTTATAGGGAAAATGTTTTCTGATTTTCCCTCTGCAAGACAGATGCCGAGCTGGCCTTCTTGCTGTTGTACTAGTAAGTAACAACTGCTATGTCATTGTAGCACTTAATGTTTTGCTGTGTTAGCAAAGACTTGCTAGTTTTTGATCTTAAGTAATGTAATCATCACAAATGCACATGTACCGCCATCCATATTTACAACAGCAGTATATAAATGAATATCACTTTGAAAATGGAGGCACCAAATCACAAAAAATACTAATTAAAGTAATGTTGCTTTAAGGTCAATTAACACAGATAATATTTGACCAGGATTTCTCCTATTTGTCCAGGACATTGAAATCTTCCAGGATAAATGGACTGGCAACCCTGCCATTTCCAGATTCTTACCCCCTTATTCCCTAACTTCACATCTTGTTGCCTTATACCTACATGTATGTATCGCTACGTACATAGTTACACTGAAATTTGCAAAGAATTATGCTGTATGTTGTGGACCATAAAATAAAGTGTTACCATAATTATGATTAAGAATTATTTGTCATTCATTTAGTGAATGACATTTAAATTCAAAACTTTTATTGTACAGAAGTGATTTAGATCCCGAAATGTAATCAAATCAATTAAATTCCCCTGTGCGGTTTTCGTGGCTGTAACAGATTTTGCGTGTAAAGCCTGTCAGCATTATGTGTGATCTGAGCTAATCCAGCCATCGAGCCCCAAACAGCTGAACGCTGCAGTGTTGCTCATCTACTAATACCACTGAATAGAATTATCAATGAGGGTATTACTGACTGCACACACCTGCAGATAGCCTTGTATGTGTACAGATATACATGAGCATGTGTGTTTTTCTTGTAGTATTAGCTTACAGAAGGACGTACATTCGTGTGTGTGTGTGTGTTTACCAATAAGCTGTATCTCAATACAACAACACAGGCAAGAGCAACTGAGAGTATTATAGTTGCTAGAGTGGTTTAGCATGTCTTTACATGTTTACATCCAGTTTACTTATGACTAATGTATGAGGGAGAAGAACCTGAAAGACTGCATAAAATCATGAATCATAATTTATATCCTCATGTTTGTTGTGTGTCCTTTTTCCTCCTTTCTCCTCTTCCCAATCCTCTCCATGAGAAAGCCTGTACTTAAACATGAGAACTCTGATTGGATACCATCCCATAGCCATTAACCAATCAGAAATAACTTATAATCGTATCACCTCATCAAACTTTTTGTCTTTTACCTTAGGTTCTTTCCACCATTTTATCTCTTTTCCCTGCCATCTCTCCATTCCTTGATGTCCCCTCCCTCTGCCTCTCTTCCCATTCCCTTCTATATTCTTACCCTCAATTTTCTATTGAGGGTTCTATTTATGTTTCTATTTATTTCTAGTCTCCTGACCTTCTTTCTCCTGGCCTCCACCCTTCCTTCATTTTCTCCAATCAGGTATATTGCCCTTGGCCTCCTACCCTGCCCACTTTGCTCTTTTTCCCAAGTGATGGTGTGATGTGAGTCAGTACCTCCACTTTTCTAATCATCCAGCCCTCTAAAATTGTTCCACTCTTTACACTGTCCTTAGTTAGCTTTGTGACAAGCCTTCGTCTCTTACACACACACTGTGGAAGTACACTGAGGACAAATTATTTGAGAGAGCACAGAAAAATAACATAACAACATTTGACAGCCCGCAGACACAGAGGAGAATCAGATTTGCACACGCTTGTTTCTGCGTTTGTTTTCTCCAGCTGTTTTGGCAGCTTCTGAGCACACAAACGTTGCTTGCCAAACATTTTTTTTACACATCCAGACATAAGGGTCATGTCTTTGTCAGTTCACACACACACAAAAAATGTTTTGAATATATTGCTCCTCCATAAGGAGCAATTTGTGACCATATGTCTGTTTAGGAAAACTGGAGATTTACATATTGTTGCCTATTTTAGCCTACAGTTGCAATTATTGTACTCGTGTGGATATGCACTGTGGATTCTGGCAATCAAACTGATCCACTTACCGTCGCCCAGTATATCCATACCAGTATACCGAATTTGTGCCACACCTATTTTGAAAATGCTGTCATTTTGAATATAACCTCAACCCATAATACATTTAGTTTTTTTTTTTAATCCGGAGCTGAAACATGGAGCTGGATCGGATAACAATAAACTCAACCATCCCCCATTTCAGGCTCATGAGATTTCTGACAATGTGCCTCATTCATAATTGTATTTATTGTAATGGATGTAATAAGTTTCTCTGTTAAAATTATTAATAAATAAACTGAAAAAGAAGAAATAAGAAAACCCATCCCCTTCAGAAAATCACACTAGAAATAGAAGCTAACACAAAGCTAACACAGGCACTATATATAGCTAGTACCCACTGTTATATTAATTTGACTATAAAAAGTATTCTTTTCCAGCCATTTCAATGTGATTTTAGTCATTTAGTAACCAAATACTGCTCTTTGTCTCCATCTGGTAGTTAAAAAAAACACCACTGTTCCAGTTTTTATTTTGAAGGTAGAAGGAAGGGTGTAACAGGATGACTATGGAAACCTGACGAGGTCATTATAAATCTCCTTTTCCTCATAAAAACATCAAACAGTAGGGAAAAGGAGACAAATAATGACCTCATCAGCTTTCCATAGATGACCCTCCACTTCCAGATCAAACTGAACATGTGACAGTCGTGTGTACTCTCATAGATTGACCTACAGACTGAGTAGAGCTTAAATTTGTTTTCTTCTCTTTTGTCATCAATATACTTCTATAACACACTGCCACCAGTCCCGCTATAGAGACCAGTGCTAAAAATAGCTTCTGCTGTTCCCAATGTGGAAGCCCATTCATCCCCAGTCTCAGAGGAGCTGCCACACACAGACTCAAAAACACACACTATAGTGTTTTTTGAGGTTGAGAGTGAATATTTTGCATAAGTGAAATTGTATTTCATCATTGATCCGTAAATGAGTGTGCTCGTACATGCACACACATAGTGTTTCCATACCCCGTTTTGAGGCTGACAAGTGCGTCCTGGACTCCAGTCTGATGATATTTCACCATGTATTGGTGCATTGCAGGGTAGTTCTTCCTAATGTTCCTCTCTGTGGATCCGTTTGGAACAGTCCCAAAGCGAAACGGAGGTGAGTATGCGTACGGGTTCTGAAACTGTGATGGAGGAAAAGAAGAACAATGGAGAGAGAGAAAACACAGATGGAAAAGCAAGAGTTAAATTGCAACGTAAACACAAGAGAGAACCTGTGAGTGACACAATGTATTCCAAACATGTTCGTGTGTGTATAGGTGGGTGCCAGGCTTAGATGGGTAGGTTATACCAATTGGTATCCTATTAATACAATGTCAGTCAAAGAAAAGCAATGGACTTTCCTGTGATTAACCAGTATTTAAAAGACAAATATCATTTTTTACCACTGTAATAAACTTTATCAATGCTTTTAATATAATAGAAATACCTGCACATGTCATGTTGTAGGGCACTGCGGAATATAGCAAAATAGGATAGAAAAAAACATGTAACCCTTTCATAGTCTTTACAATCCAAGTTCAAACATGGGTAACTGACTTTACCTTAGTTGAAACCTTACCATCGGTCAGATTTACAGTCTTTGTCTTTTTGGGAGTTGTGTTAGTAATCATATTTATATTCCACTTTTGGCATATTTTCTCTGCTTTCAGGCTTCACACGCCTTCCCTTCCTTTTCAGGTCACCCTTTCCCTCTTTAATTTATTCATTATCATTTATTCATTGATCTGATTTATTTGTATAAGACCGTGTACAATATTAATTAAACATAAACGTTACCTTTACTAGATCTTCAGTTGAGAGGCCACTAACTTTTTCCCACTCTCTCTTTTCTTCCTTCTTCTAACTGAATTTCCTTCTTTTAAAATTTCTCATCAGTTCCCTCTGTCTTCCTCCTCCCCACTCTGTGTCTCTCTCAGGTATAATTCAGTTGGTGTACAGGTCAAGGTTGTTTTGTAATAGTGTGCTTGACACTGTGGTAACAACCTACCCAAATGCACTGCGGTAACAATCTGCCCTCAGTGCCAGCAACAGATGAACCCTATCAATTAGAAGTGTGTATTATGAGCTCCACTCTAACCACATAGAGTGCGTGTGTGTGTGTGTGTGTGTGTGAGAGAGAGATAGACAGAGTGTGTGTGTGTAGTATTGAGGAGTGGTTTCGCTACATATTATTAAAACAGTTCTGTAAAATAACATCATCACAAAACAACTTTTTCATTTATCTACATGTCTGTTGTGCTTTACTTTCACACATTCATACAACACATTAGTGAATCAACCTATAAGCAGTGCATGAAGGATTTTATTTGCATATTATTAGCATAGGTGTTGTGTACGGGGCTTGTTAAACATGTGTGTTTGATTGCCAGTGCTGAATTGTTTATGTGAACTCGTTAATCATAAACACATCTAGGCAACATATCTTTATAGATATGTATGCATATTGTATCTGCCTGCACACATGTGCATCTCTGTTGTGTAATCAGGTCAAGGTGAGGGCACTTTGATAAGTCAAACTCCGCTGTGCATGTGTGTGAGTGTATGTGTAAGTAGTGATGTCATGCCGTGTGTGTGTCACCATCATAAGCAATAGCCCAGAGGAGACACTCTCTCCTCACGAAGTCCCTCCTATTGTTTCTCTATCTTTCCCTCATCTTTCCTTCATTTGTGGCTCTTTTAAGGTGGAGCTAAAGGCCAAAAGAGGGCACATACGACATGACTGGGGAATCGCAGTTTGGGAAAGCGCTCTTCTCTTACTGGATAATTGCCAGTGAAGGGCTTTTGAGAACGGAGGCAGCTGCTACTAATGAAAGCTTGATGCAGAGATGATGAGGAAATGAAAGAGCAGAGGCAGAGGAGGGTTTGTGGTTCAGACAGGTGGAGATAAGAGCACTCACTGTCCTGCTACAGTACGTGGCAAAGGCACTCTCACAAAATTACAGAGCAGATCCTGAGATTTTGTTCACAGATGATTAAAAGCAGTTGCTTGCATATTTTTTTTGTAGATTGTTGTACTATTAAAGGTTATATTTTCATCACCATAGAGTGGATGTTTTATATTTTAGATAAATGAATATATTACATTAAATATATAAATTTAAATAATTTAAAAATTCTAACTCTGCGATGGACTGGCAACCTGTCCAAAGTGTACCCCGCCTTTTGTCCGATGTCAGCTGGGATTGGCTCCAGCCCCCCGCGACCCTGTACGTAGGATAAGCGGTTGACGATGGATGGAAAAATTCAAACTTTCTCGCAAGCCTCTGGTTGTCAGGTGACCTCCTAATGCTGTTTTACCTCAGCTCCTTTCCAGCTGTCTGTCCACGTCTCCTCTCCTCTGCTCTTTTGTTTCATGCCATATCTCTTTTGTTGCTCTCTTCCACCTTCATTCTGCTCTTCTCCTCTCTCTATCTCATTATGCAAGTTCTGTGTTATATAAGCAAAGGAGTCCTTTTGTATGTGTGTGTAACTGTGTCTGTTATGTGTACATTTGCATGTGTCTTTGTGCCTTTACATCGCCCATGCATGTCACTTTTCTACATGGCAACTCTCTTAATGCAGAGATTTCCATGGTCCTTGTGTGTTTTTAAGATAAATTGTTTTTTGCTTAGCAGTATTGTTGTGGTGTCACAACAAAGTGTTGACTTGTCAATCAGCTTGTAGACTTTTCTCCTCAACTTTTTGTTACTTGAGTTGGAGTTTTCTTTGAATCTCCTCACACCTTCAAGCTGCTGAACCTGAAAGCAATTTAAGGGTGACCTTTTAAAAGCAACCCAAATATTGGTGCAGCGTTGTGGCAACAATGCATTTTTCAACATCTTTGTATGTGTTCAGACAAGCACGCCTGCTCAAAGGCAGTTGCATCCAAGAGCGCTTGTCATTGATTCCATGTAAATGTGGTGCATCAATCACACTGTAGATAGAAGATGCATTTACCACTTTAGGCTTATGTCATACTTTACAAAGAGATAAAAGAAATGAAAGACACTTTACTGTAGATACATTAATATAAAGAGTGCTTGGTGCCTAAATGAGCAGCTAGAGCATTTACTGAGTGAGTTCCTTAGTGGTTATATCATATGGTCAAAATGCTTTTTCTTTCGGATGAATCTTTGCACGTCGTTAGGAATAAATAAGTTGACACTTTAATGATGGAATATCCAAATCAACCCTCAAAATCCCATCCCAACAGACAGACAGACAGATCGACTGTTTGCAGCTCCAAAACCTGATTACTATAGTTATTATGTCACTGTGAAAAACTGCAACCACCCCAGAACAGCACTTGTTTGCTGAAAGTCTGTGCACGAAAAAACATGCTCTATTATCAGCTGTTGAGAAACCAGAACACCATGTCCTCTTCAGAAAGCAGAGACAAATAAGCCAGCACTGTCCCGGGTGGTCCTACAGCCGAAAACATCACAGACCTGTTCACTTGTGAATGAGACAGCCTGCTTGGTCACTGGCCAGGAAGGATGAGCTCATATCACTTTGTTAATTTTATGGGAAAAATAGGACAAAAGTGCTTATGTTATTAATCCTCTATTCACTTTAGATGAGAGTAGACTCACCTAAGGAGAGTGTATTCGCTCCAGTTGTTTTAATATTTCTAGACTCTACAATCACAGCTAAATCCATTGTGACATATTGTATCTTTCTCTGATTGGCCCATGCAGACAGTGCATCATTTTAGGAGAACCACATATTTGTACATTTGTACATGCAAAGCTGTTGTGTTTTCACTGGCCCGCCTAACCGCTTCATCTGCCGTTTCTTACTTCTCACATCCCTCCCCCCCAACCCTCTTTCTCTCCTCTTTCAATGGGCAGCACGGTGTCCCAGTGAACAGCACTGTGGCCTCACAGCAAGAAGGTCCTGGGTCCAGACCTTGGTCAGCCCAGGCCTTTCTGTGTGGAGTTTCCACGTTCTCCCCGTGTTTGCATGGGTTTCCCCTGGGCACTCCGGTTTCCTCCCACCATCAAAGACATGCACACTAAAATTCATAATTCCGCCAATGTCATTGTTCTTTTTCTACCACAGGAATCACAGGGGGATCATAAGCAAGACGCTTATACGTGTCACCACCCTGAGTCTCGACTCCTTCCTAGCAGCTCCGGCCACCACGACCCGATCAACCCCCTTCATCCCTACCTCCTCGACCCCTTCATCCTTTCATCCTAGAACCTTCTGTCTAACCAAATAAACTACATGTTGTACCTTAATTGGGGTGGTCTAAGTTAGTGAACCAAAAAGCAAAAAATGACAAAATGCTCAAGTAATATTTTGTCCCAGGAGTTGTGACACCAACCCAGGGATAAAAAGTACTGGGACTTACGTTCAAGTAATAAGAAACGCATCATATTGCTCTGTGCCTGCTGGATCTGTAAGTAGGCAACATTGGCATGTTAGCCGTAAGACCACAATAAGCTGATATGGGCTAAGGCTTCTTTGCTCTGAGTTTGTTTTACAGCCTTTCTGCCTCCTAGTGGTCTAAAATCATTCACCGAAAAGTTACCAACAGGCATCTCAGTGGGGAATCTTCTTTGTCATTTTGCTGGTTCCAGATGGCTCAGTGTCCAGCCTGGCGCAGCATATCTGTCTGAATGGCCATTTACCCTTTTTGTCTGGTTCCTTTCTTCCCTGACCCTCTCTGTCTTTCTATATCTTTTTTACTTTCTCCCTCCTCGTGCCATTCGTTTCTCCCTACCTCAGCCATCAACATGACCCATATCTGTCGGCCTGTTGTCTTGTACCATCTTGTGTGTCTTGGCCTCTCTCTATTCCTCAGTCGCCCTCCTGCCAGTTGCTTTACCCCTTATTCCATCCCTCCCTCCCTTTCTCCTTCTGTATGTTGTCAAAACCCTCTACATCAGTTTCAGATGCTCTCTCCTCGGAAGCATATCCCCATACATCTGTCTCTCTCTCCTCAGGAACCCATTTGTGGTCTTTCTTTTCTATTGCTCTACATTTGGCTTGACCTTTTCCTCCAATCGGTCAGCCTGTCTTCCTCCTCCTGCATGGCTAACTTGTCATATATAACTTTTTTTGTCTTCCTTTTCAGTGCATATTATCATAATTGCACCTTTGTAATGACTTACAATCACACAGTGGCACAGTAGCGGTATGATAAGTTTATATTTGTGGAAGAGATTTGTATTATTAATCTGATCGTTTTACTAATAAAAATCCATGCTTAAGCACCAGAACACTATTTCTAAGATAGCTTAGACAGACTATGAAATCAAGCTAATTTTAGTTAGGAGAACCACATTTTAAGACAGAAAATGTGAACATATCAGTGAAATATTAAATTTTGAATGAAAACATGTCTTGTAATCCACAGTATACACATGCACTCTAAATAGTTTGAGCATTTAAATCAGACAAATAGTTGCATTGTCGATCAAAATACAGTCATTCATACAACATACAGCATTTAGTCTACGACAAATTTAAACTTTTTACTACTGCTGCATGTGTCTTCCAAAATGGCCACTCAAAAGCTAGTCTTATTTTAGGGTCCACTTTGTTACTTCTGACTAAAAAGTGTGCAGAACAAAAGAGATGAAAACAACTCCCTCATAATTCTACTTAAGTAATAGATGGAAGATATTAAGGCCTGGAGGGCTTCTAACCTTTTAAATCTTTATGAAAATAAAACTGAGGTCATTGTGTTTGGACCCAGTCGGGCCGGTGATGTCCTTCCTGTGGACCTGGGCTACCTGCAACAATATGCGAAACCTATAGTCACTGATTTGGGTGTCAAAATAGACAATGATTTTAAATTTGTTAAACAAATAAATAATGTTAATAATTGTTTTTATCACTTGAGGCTTTAATCTAAAATTAAACCTGTTTTATCTCGTAAGCACTTTGAGCATGTGATTCATGTTATTATTTCAACCCGTCTGGACTACTGTAATGCACTTTACATTGGAACCAAGCTTCTCTCTTACACTTACAAAACTCAGCTGCTCATCTTATTGTTTGTTTTAAAAAGTTTACTACCACCATCCTGCCAGTCAACTCAACAAACTACCTCTCCTATTTGTTGTCCATTACCTTGTTGTCAGAAAGCCCGGTGACCTGGTCGACAAACTCCTCCTGGATCATGAAGGCAGCCAGGTTGGCAGTGTAGGAGGCCAGGAAGATGACAGCGAAGAAGGCCCACACAGACACTATGAACTTACTGGTGGTTCCTTTTGGGTTTTGCACTGGCACAGAGTTGTTGAAGACCAGACCCCACAGCAGCCACACGGCCTTGCCCATGGTGAAGGAAGGGCCATGGGGGTCTGAAAGAGAGGACATAGGAGCGAGACAGAGAGAGATGGTTTAGAGGAAGAGGAGAACATACAAACTGTAGATAAGGATACTCTCTAGTAAGACATGATAATATCAGGATTTACAGTGTAGATGCAGAGCTTATCAAGACTTGCTATCCAACTATGCTGAAATGTGGCCCACTGTATGTGTGTGTGTTCATGTGCATGCTCACCTTTTCCTTGTGCCAGGTTTCTGTTAAAACCAAGAGGACTGATGTACTCAAACATGAAGACAGCCATTGCAGTCACCAGTAGGAGCATAACAAACATCATCACCCACACTGATGCACTGAATGGCTCTGAGGGAGAGAAAGAAAGTAAGAAGAGGACAGAGATTAAGTATTAATGCATGTTGGATTCAATGTTCATATTTTACACATTGCTTTTTCTGATCCATGCGCACTCACTTTCTTTCTTTCCATTAACTGAATGAATACATCAATCATCATACACGCACACACACACACACACACACACACAGGGGAAAGAAATGTGTGGGTAATAAGCTGACAGTGGGCCACATGTACCCCCCCCCCCCCCACACACACACACACACACACACACACACTCTTGCATATACACAGGCAACACCTCCTATTTGACAGTGTGAGGAGGCGTACAGTGTAGGAAGCCCTGGTGTCAGCATTCCTGTCCTCCCTCTGAGCTCACAACACTACTGCAGAGATTAAACCCTGCTCTAATGTATGGGAGAGCACTGCTGGCACAGGGCTGTGCAAGTTTGTGTGAGTGTATGTGCTGGAAAGCAGCCTGCTAAGCCCTTATAATTGCCACTTTCACAGCAGTAAATGTATGCTGCATACGTGTCAGTGTGTGTACCAGTGTGTGTGTGTGGCTTTGTGCCTGGTGTGTGCTGGCATGTGCATCTCTCTTCACTTTTATGCAGTCTTGCTGGTTGTTTGCGCTTGTGCCAGTGTGTGCCTTTGTGTGCGTGGCTTCATGCATGTGTGTGCAGGAACTTGGATGTCAATGCTGAAGCCCCATGCATCACATGAACATGATTGGGCAGCCATAACAGGGATATACATGGTCACTCAGGTTAAAATCCTGTGTTTAAGTCCCTCTCAGGTAAGTGAGTCATTGAGGCAGGAAGCAGGAGTTGAGCTAAATCCCTACGATGAAAGAGCAAGTATTGACAGCTGTGTAACAGAACTGAATTGTGTTGTCAGCTCTGTGTCTCAGGGAACACACACACACATACAAACCCAGAACAAATACCATTCTACACTCACAAACCGAAAAAAGCAAACAAGACAGATCCTTCTCTCCCTCCCTCCCGAGTCCAACGACAAAGTAACAGTTATTCTGCGACAGTTACCGAGAAAGGCTGACGGGGAGACTGTTCCGTTGCTACGGGAGACCATGACGCTGATCCCGGTTTCCACGAACGGGACGGAGAAATCGATGACCTCAGAACGCTCCTCATTGATCGTCAGAGATCCGACGGCCATGACGGCTTTCTTATAGACCACCTTTGGAGGGCGGGGAGGGGGAGGGTCCAGGGTTAAAGGAAGGATGGAAGAGGAGGGGGAGTGATTCAGGAATGAAGGAAGAGAGATGATTGAGGCCGGAGAGAATGGAAGAGATTGATGCAAAGGAGGAGGAGGAGAAAGACGTGGAGGGAAACAGGGAAAGATTGCAAGGTTGAGGAAAGAAAAATAGGTAGATGAGAGAGAAGACAAAAAGGAGGAATAAAGGGAGAAACAGAAGATACAATGGAGTGGGTGAAATGGGAAAAAGTAAGAGAAGGATTATGTATAAAAGTAAAAAGGTAATGTGATCAAGAGGGGGGGAACAGGAAAAAAGAAAATAAAAATTTTAATGGTATTGTTCAGTCATTGTGGCATTTTAAACATGACCTGACTCTTAATCAATACAGTAAATATACCAGAGGGAGGCACCAATAAATAATAATAATAATAATAATAATATAAATGTCAGGTGAACTTCAACTTTGCATTACGTCTGCCATAAAATAATATAGACAGCAGTTAAGGTTTTAGTCTTAAAATGAACTCTGGGACTGGGACCTTCAAGTTGAAGCTGGCAATTAAAGATATGCAAAGGGCTTTTCTGCAGGAGCAGCTAAGATTTGTTTACTCTCTAAGCATTTACAGATGGTGCCAAAGCCTCATAGCTGAATGGTATTAAACATTTTTTTCACCCTGTGAAAGTTTTGCGAAGTCAACACTTAAAGCTTCTTTTGGAACAGGAATATTCTGTCACACAAACATCTCTAATTTCCTCTTAGCCTCGGCTCAGATTACTCACTTAAAATGTATTACAACTTAAAAGTGAAGACTGATCAATACTCTTACACATCATTCATGACATGCCCCTGCACTTTCTAAAGTACTAATAGGCTGCTGTGTGCTCATGTTGTGCCACGTGCAAGACTATAGGGCAAAAAAGTAGTCAAGTAATCTAAACTCCGAGTTCTTTGGTATGAATATAATTAGATTCATCACCACAAAATGTGCATAAAAATTAATGTCAGCCAGTCACATTAACATTTTAGTGGTTACACATTATTTCCATGTGAACTACATCTGACTTTCATGACGATATCAATGGCTGTAAAGCAGGTCCACATTTGTACTGTAGAATATAGCATGAACTGTATTTATTGTGATGTTTGGTAGCATCCGCATTTGTGTGCCATCTGATATCGACCTGCTGTCTGGCTCCAAGGTTTTTATTGAGTGAACTCTTGTTCAGAATTGGCAGAATCAAACACACATCCACACACTGGGGCTCGTCTTACCTCTCCCACCATCCCATTCCACACGTTGTTGATCTTCTTGCCATGCTTGCCATTGGTTACCAGGTACAGGTCATAGGTGAACTTTACATACTTTGCAATCTTCTTCAGAATATCGATGCAGAAGCCTTTGCAGCACTTCTTGATGTATGTCCCACCAGCCTCTGTCGTGTTGCTAAGGAAACACAAACAAAACGCACACATAATTAGCGGATTACTCTAAACAGCAGCTGCTCTGACCAATTATCAACTGTGGTTTAGTGTTTGTGACAGAAAATGAGAGAAAGGGCACCAAACAGAAGATTTCAGACACTATGTATTTAACATACACTGTGCTAAACTGCAGACTGAAGAAAAAAATGACAGACCATGTTACTCCAAGTGGATGTTTTCTTATTGATTTCAACTTTCATTTCCACATTTATAAACCTTGTATCATGTGTCATTGCTCTTAGGGTTAAAAACAAACCAAACACAGTTTGCTTCTCTTTCCATTCCACTTGTTAATTTTATATGAATGCACCAATGAATAAATATCACCCTTGGGCTTTTTCACCTTTAAGTTCAGGGCTATCTATTCAGGAATGACATCAGAAGACTTGAAAAATATGCTCCTTCTCTCCTTCTACCTCTCTGTCTCTCTAGAGAAGGGGGTTTATGACGGCACTGCATCTGCAAGCCTTGTACCATCTGTGTATATGAATTTGAGAGCAGGAGAGTTCAGACACTGCTCACACACACACACACACACACACACACAGAAGAGTGCACATCAACTTTCAGCCACCTGGGACTCTCATTTAACTTTAAGATGTGTGCTAATTAGGAGAAGATAACCTCGTCCTTTAGTTTAACAACAACCTGGACATAAACTTGATGGAAAGAGAGGGAAAAAAACTCCACACATCCGGCCGTGACACTGCAGTTACCTTCAGAGCTGAAACTCTGTCACTTTGGAGGAATTATGTAGTGCTGGAAAAACATTAGCCAATTTGCCCCAAGTGCAAACTCCTGCGTTATCCTCACTAGTCACCATCGATCTGTCAAACGAATGTCACCCCAAGTGGAATTCTTTCCTGTCTTCAAACTGGAAAGGAATGTACTTTTTATGGTCTAACAGTTTCGCACAAGAGAGAAAAGGTTCATTTGAAAAATCTAAGCGCTGCTCTGTCAGCAGTTGTGAATGACTTTGTTTGAAAAGTTGTGCAATCACCCAGGCTGCTTTCTACAGACATTATCTGTGGCAGCTGATGGAGCTAATTTAAAATGAAATAAAGAAGCTAATTTACATCTAAATGCCAAGTGGCAACTAAATCAGTCTAATTCATTTTTAGAGAGAAAATCGTTTCCTCATTAATCTAAAATAAAGGCTTTTGCAGTGGAAAGTAAATAAGTACATTTATTCAAGGTACCCATCAACGTCCATATAAGACGCCTTTTTAATTTGTTGTATATATGCAGTTAGGTTAGGTTTGGGCACCAAAAATACTTTTTTAGGTTTAGGAAAACATAGTGTTTTGGGTCAAAATAAGTTCATTTCGTGGCAGCAGATGGGTTACATTAGGGTTACTTGAAAGCCCAGGGCGTCTCATACAGACGCTGAAGGGTACCTTGATTATCAAGTACCAAAGCACCAGTATTTGACGGCATAAGACTGGGCTCCAACTACATGATAAAGTGGGACATGGATAGGGACTTGTGGAGGGAATGTGATCTGTGATAATAATAACAGAAACAAGAACAACTAAGTTAAGTTTCTGGCAGATCCAGCTGCTGGGGGCAGTGACACAGCAAGCATATAGGCCAGAAATGTAATAGCTGCATTCATGAACACAGTGTACATTGACCTCACTTGGCCACCTTGTTTATCTTTTAGATTTTACAGTCTTGTTCCTATCCTCACACTCTTCTCACTTTATACTTATATGTATATTCATGTTGTTATTTACTATTATTATTTAAATGGTGTTTTATTGTGTGCTTCTTTTCTTGGTTTCATGATTGCTATTACCTGCACCGGGACCTGAGTATCTCATTTCATTCCCTTTTACATGATCTGGAATGATAATAAAATATCCTTATCCTTACCCTACCCATTTAGGGAGGTCATAGTACAGTTCAGGCAGTGAGAGCATGTGATGGGAGGCTGGTTGTGAAGTTGCCAGGCCAACTTGATATAGAAACACTACAGGGCCTGAGGGGTCTCCAGAGAGGGCAGTTTGGGCATGTGTGTGATTGTGTGTGTTAGTGTGAGTATGACTTGTTCTTAGGCATAGCCTGGATGAGTGAATTTGTGGTTCTGCATGCATGGATAGTCCTCCATCCCCTGATCCAACCCCTCAATCATTCCTCTCTCTCTGCCTCTTTCCTTCCCTCTGTCTATCCCTCTTACTCCAAATGTACACTGTGGATGCTTGAGAGGGAATTGCGCTGTTGGAGGGAGGAATGCAACCAAATGCATTGGCCTGTGAGTGAGTGGACATGTGGCAACAGAAAGTGTATATGTTGTGTGCGTGTTGTGTGTTTCTCCTTGGAGACGCTTTATCGTCCGCCCTACTTCACAGTCATTCTGGATGAAATTCTCTGTTGGCCTCCTCCCTGGTACCCTGTTACTGCTTAATCAGCTCTGTTTTTGTATGCGTGCGTTTCTGTGTAGTGGTTATGGTCAGTAACTTTGCATGCATGCATGTATTCAGTTGTAAGAGTGACAACAAGTGTAAAGCCTACATGCCAATCTTGCTGTAAGTGTGTCTGTGAGTCTGTGTGTTCCAGTGGAGAGAAATAATAATAATTAAATTATCTACAAAACAATTACATGCTTTGATTCAGCAGCACTCAAGCCACTCAGTGACACACAGACACACACACACCCTAAGCCACTTTCACTGTGAGTGTGTATACATTGGGAACATAATATAGTAATGGGCTAGCAGCATTTGAGTGTTAGAGAGAAAATTGGTTAGGAAGAAGTAAATCGCTGAGTTCAGCAGTTGCCTCCATTTTCAGGGGGAGGAAGGAACCTGCTGCATAGATCGCACACTGCACCTCTTCCCATGCTCATGAGAGAAGTGTGTGTGTGTGTGTGTGCGAGAGAGAGAGAGAGAGCTAAAAGAGGAACACAGCGACAGTGCGGTGGGAAATGGAAAATGGATGATGTAATTTTTACCACCTCCTGATTCTCAAATACACTGATATAAAATGGATCATTCATTCATTTTCTGTAATGCTTAGTCACATGTTTCCTTCATAAAAAATTACCTGTCAATCAGGTAATGTATTAGTCCTTACAGGCAAGTCATGCCACTCGGCAGCCATCTTGGCAACGCCTCCAGGCAGCTATTTTGGACTAACAAGACCAGGCTTCTATCTGAATGAATACGGAGAGAGCCAGAAATCCTCACCAGGATATAAAAACTACATGAATGGAATCAGCAGGAAAATCTGATAAAAGTCGCTGAAAAAAGTTGGACGACTTTGCCCCAAAATAAGGTTTACCAAGCGTTTTTCATGACCGGTTATACTTCTACTGTGCATGCGTCACTACTTATGCGCATGCGCAGTCAAAGTAAAAAAGACCCTTATGTCAGTGGAACCACACATTGGCTGAAATATGTTTCCCACTTTGGCTGCAGACGATTGGCTTTCTTGCGGGAGGGGCCCTATAACTGCCATCTTTGCCATTACGGGCTTTCCCCATAGAGTTATATGAGGATGTGACTGAGTGGCATGTGCCCTCTATAATACGTCTCTGAATGTATTCACTGCATCACAAAGAGCCTGCAGTGTATTTCAGTCACTGTCATTCTGGTTGTACTGTAACTGTAATATAACTAATACCACTGTATATTAAGATTTGCGGAATTTATCATGTCCATACTAAATAAAACAGTTACTTATTTCACCACAATGCATTAAAAGTCTTGGAACTCATAGCTTTTCAGCATTGTAAATGGAAAGTTGTTGACTAGGTTCATCTAAGGTTTAGCTTTTCGCTTAAGGGCAGTAAGCGATATTGTAACTGAAAATTTGCTTGATAATGATAATCAGATTATCATTTCAAAAGTGTTGAAATACATTTTTTGACTTTGCCTGTTAATACACATATTTGTGTTTTTCTGGTTTCCTGCACATACTACAGCACATTGACTGGAGCATCGTCTTTGACCTGATTCTGTAAAAGAAATCACATTAAAACCAGTGGCAGACTTACTCTTTGATATGCTTCCTGCAGGGCACAGAGTTCCTCATGCAGGTACCGGTGAGCCTTTCTACGTCCTCCACAATAACAAAAGGTTTCTCCTCTAAAGTGACGATGGACAGGTGGTTGTCGTCCAGCTCAGCGTCACCAAAGGAGTTGAAGCGCGGCCACACTGGGTACTTAAGTGTCAGGCTGCGGTTGTCCAATTTCCCCATCTGGAAGAAAGGATAGGAGGATAACAAAGACGAGATGATAAATGAGTTAAGCTCAACAAGATTGCTAAGATTGCTAAGTCACTCAACGCTAGAACAGTTGAATTTAAATTGTAGGCATTTACAAAGGGTGTGGATCTCATCCAATACTTTGTAATTAGTGAGCTGGTTGGGAGTCTGCCCGAAGACACTTTCTGTAACAGTAGCACTGGCTGTTGTTGGGTTTAGACCCAGGACCTCACATTGCAAAGACAGTGTCTAGCTACTCAGCAAGTCTGTTGCCCTCAGATCTAATGGTAAATAAGCAGACAGGAAGTGGAAGTGGTGGGGGAAATTATGTCCAGTGATCATAACATGGTAAGAAAACCATTTGGAGAAACGCAGTGTTACTTTTCTTTACCTGGTAATTTCCTAACTGCTGTCATCTGTTGCCTAATAACTCAAAGCAGACAGGAAGTTGAGAGGATTACAAATGTAGACACACATTAACATTTCCTTATGTTATATATGTTTTTTGGTTACAAAACACATACAAATCAGTATACATCTTCACAGACCATAATACACGTGACTGTGGGCACAACATAACAGATTAAAAGCATGGCGTCTGGGGATGCATGACAAAATGCACACAAAAGGATATACAGTATGGCTATAAATGCAATCCAAACTGTGTATGAGAAAGAGAGAGGGAGTGTGGCAGTATGATAGCACTGTGACTTTGTTAATAATTCAGAAAGTTTTCAAAGCAATGATGTCACAGATTCCCTATGGATGATCTTTACCCACCCACACCTGTCTATAAATGTATGTGTGTGAGCATGTGTGTGTAAGCATGTTTGCTTCAGACAGGGGAGGCAGGAGAAAAATGACAGAGACAACAGCAGGCAGCAAAGCTTAGCTCGACTCTAAATTATTAATGTTACAGGAGCCTGAAAATGGCAAATGCCTGCACTCACTCTTTCCCTCCATTCCAAAAGTCTTACTTTATCTTCTCTCTCTCTCTCTCTCTCTATATATATATATATATATATTTTTTTTTTTTATTATTTATTTTTTTTCCACCTAGCCTCATACAGCAATAGCACTGTAGTGTGGAGTGGCCTGACTTTACAGCCAATGCTTTTTGTGTATTGGACTCACTAACACACATAAAGGCATAAATGTATAAATGTCTAAGCCAGTAACAAATGGAGAAAGGCTAACATGCTAAAAATTTGTTTTGTGTGTGTGTGTGTGTGTGTGTGTATGCACCCTCACACACGCCCATAATACCCATAATATAGCCATGCTAATCTGTCACCCCTTTGACCCTAGAGTTACAGTATATAAAACAGTGGTTGTTACCCACGCACACACATGCACACGCACACATGTTGTCGCTTAGCCTGCATGCCTGGCTAAGTCATTAACAGGCGAGCCGAGTGGAGGAAGTGAAATTAGCATTTTAATTGTTTTGCTTTGAGTGGTTTTCTATCCTCTGACGGGGATTAGAGTCTTTTCTTCACTTTTAGTCGGCACCACTGTCAACAGCTCACTCTACTGCCGGCTACATATATAGGTGTGTGTGTGTGTATGGGTAGGTGTAGGTGTTTGTGTTGGGGGGCAGGGCAGTACACTGAGATGGCATGTGTGTGGTTTCTCGTGTGTCACCATCACTCTCCAGGGAACATCCGCATTTGTCTATCTGTCTTACCCCAGCTGTTTTGCATTTCACAAGTGACTGCATGCATGTATCTACACACACATACACACACACACACACACACACGCATACACACACATACACACACACACCTGTGTGTGTCTATCAAAGGGATGGGGAGGTACAGTAGTTAATGGGATTGGTAATGTAACAGTGAGGTGGAATTTTTGCATAATAGGTAAGATAGGAGTTGTGTCAGAGAAATGACATGAGAGTCAGAGATGAAAAGAAGGGAAGTGTGTGGGTTCAAAATATTTGGATTGTACTGCACAAGCAGTTTGGAGTCATTTTCTGGTCTTAGTAAGACCCTGAAGCTGCAGTTACCAGCTGTGTGTTGTACGCTGATGTACAAGGGTGTTTTAACTGTGTAACATTATGCCATTTTTTGAAGGTGCGACAAATCACTTTTAGCTAAAGTTTCTAGAAGAATAGCACTTTGTCTTCCTGATGAATTTATTGATCTACTTGTTGCACCTTTAAGTATCAGTATACACAGCAGTGTAATGTACATTATAAATGTGAAAACAGACATACAATCCGCTTGATCCATTCAATTATTAATATAAGCTTTTGAGGATTGGTACTGATTTGGTTGGAATCAATGAACTTGGAGGAGAGATACATGTTCGACTGAAAGGATGGGTTGAAAAAAAGAGAGAGAAAAGATGGGGAGGAGGGGGATGAATAAGCTGACTTCAGCATTTCTTCTGATTTCCTGCTCCCCTCTGCCCTCTTCCTTTCTGTCCCTCCTTCTTTCTAATTAAAGAAAGAGGGGGTAGAAATTAATGCCCAGAGAGGAGAGAGGATTTTCTATATCGACCCGCCGGGCCGCAGAATGCTGAATCTCCCCATATGAAATACCAGATATTACACACACACACACACAATAAATAGAAAATGTGTGTGTGCATGTAAAGTGACAGCAAAGCCAGTGGGAGGTTACGATGATAGGACTTGTGGGATTAGTACATTATAACGTCTCATGGCGGCAATCTTATCGCACCATCACCCTGAGACGATTGTGGCGCCACTAAGTGATGAGGTGACACTCGGCCCCAGAAGAACTGTGTTTCTCAGAATCTTTTCTGAAAATCCCTTGTTTTGCTTCCACTGACCCCTATTCCTTTGTCTTCTCAAACGTGTCTTTTTTTAAGATCTCTCTGTTTTCCTCTACAACTTTTCATCTTTAGGTGTGGGTGTACACACACACACACACTCAAGGGCGACAATCAACCAGAACCCGGCTGAACAGACAGCCGGCTGAAATGTGAGAGAGAATGATAAAAGAATAAAGAAAAACAAGGGTCAGCGCTCTTACACTGAGCACCTTCTCAGTGCCAGTCTCACTGGGAGAGTTATCGCTGTGGCAAGTTGCATTATGGGAGAATGAGTTCCTAATAGTGTGGAGAAACTCATTCAGTCATAAAACAGTATCTGTCACTCCTGTCAAAAAAAATTATGTTGAGAAAATGGATTCTGCTCTCCCTCTCCTAAGCTTGCTCTGTGTGTGTGTGTGTGTGTGTGTGTGAAAAACAAGGGCAGAGAAAAAGAGGATGACAGAGTGGAAGAGCGGGAGAAAACTGTATCTATGGATTTAGACATCTTAAGTGGAGCGCTTTTCAAAATAGTGAGGCCTGCATCAAGAATGCATCAGTGTGTGTGTGTGTGTGTGTGTGCACGTGGGCTTTTGCATGTGTCTGCTCTCCATATTGTGATTCTCCCAGCACAAATCCCATGCTGTCTGTAATAATTATTTTGTGTACTGGCTGCAAACACTGCAGCAGTTCCCGAAGCAATTTACACACTCCATCTTCTCAGCAGGAATAAAACATAACATCCTGGTCCTGATCAGTAAATACACTTTTGCCATTCAGTCACTGACGTCATACTGTAAATCTGCCATGTCATTGATTCTAAAGCTGTGTATTTCCTCAAAGCTGCACCAACCATGACATAGTTGTGTGTTTTTTTTACATGTTCTGAAAGTCCAAGAGTCAATTAATATATATTTATGAATTTCTCCACTCTTGGATGGTTCTGATATATTCAGAAAGTGAAATCCTGCCCTCCAGACTGAAATATAATGTAATTATTATATACTATCGGATATATTTCAATACAATCTTGTACAGACATATGTGGTCCCTAGAGTACAAATCTTGACTTTGGAAATCCCCTCCTTGACCAAAATGTAATTCAAAGTTTTCACTTATCTCAGCCATCCGTGGTTACCAGACAATAAACCCTAATGACTTTGTTGACCTTCTGACTTTCCCTATAGAGCCACCATCAATACATTTTCTTTTTGTCCAGTATTGTGGTGTATAAGTAAATGCTTGCAAAACTAAAGACATTTCTATCAGCTCCAGCTGTACTGATGTTAATCTCCTTTAAACTGTTCAGTACTACACCAAAATTGAAGAAATCTTAGGCTTTCCCTGGATGCAGCATCATTAAAACACATTAATGTTTTGTGATATGGAGATCCACACAAAAAAGTGAAAAAGTATAGCATGCATGCTCCTTGTTTCTACATTCATGTATGGTGAGTACATATGCCACCCCTGGCATTCCCACATCCATCTAAATTCTTTCTTGCTGCTGTACCTGTTCAGTAGTTCCTAGATAAAAGCCTCATTTTGCATAAATCAATCATATAATGCCACATTGGATCCAGCCTTCTGATCCTGTCAGATGCATGTGCACCATTTGCTGCAATCTGCTCTTCTTAAAACAGTGTTTCGCTGAAGATTACATAATCCTCAAAGAAAATTCCAAACACCGTACATATCCAACCAAACAGTTGCAGCAATTTTAAAAGCGGCTCTTCCCAAAAATACAGCACCTAAACAACTGTGTGTGTGTGTGCGTGCGTGTGTGTTGCAGAGAACAGCAGGTGTGTTAAACACCTGTAGTTGGTTAAAAGAGAGAAACGATGCACATGGTGGTGGCTCAGTTCCACCTCGCTCTTCCCCTCTCTGTCTTTGTGTCTTTTTTTTCTCGTGCTCATTTGCTCTCGCTATCTCGACCCATCTGTCTCCATCGCTTGCTCGTCTCGGTATCGCTCCATATAGCTCTCCTCAGCCTGTCTCTCCCTCCTGTGCCTCAAGGGGACACATTTTATATTTTTAGTGCATATCCATATTTTAGTGCAGTTACTGAATTTTTATCTCTTGATCATCATGGAAGTCTCTCTCTATCTCAAAGTGTGTGTGTGTGTGTGTGTGTGTCTGAGTGCGCGGCGCTGATTTCTAGCGCATGGGTGGAAAGGCTGCACCAAAAAGCGGGGGTGGGAGGGGTTGAGGGGGGGTAGCAGCTCCCAATTATGTTAGGTCTTCGTGTCTCTCTTGCCTTCAGTCTCTTTCTCTGCACCACAGTGAAGTGTTACTGATCAATTTCACAGGCTCTCTGTTTACAACAACACACTCTACTTCAGTACACAAACAAAGGGTATTTTGTGTGTGTGTGTGTGTGTGTGTGTGTGTGTGTGTGTGTAAGCTACTTTCAAAGATTGGGTGGAGACTGTGCGGATTGCGGCAAACTAACCCGAATACTGTAATGCGCTCACATACTGCTGTGACCTGAATAAAAACCAGATTGGGTGAAGCAAAAACGGTTTCTGCAGTGTGGAAAGGTAAACATACACACACACACACAATAGCGGTGACCCCTTGCCACCCCAATAACGGAGGTCTCAAGTTTTGATTAGCTGTGGTTTGAGGTGTTATCAGAGACCGCAACAGCAATCACAGATAAAGACAGACAGAGTGCACAGATTATCTAACCTGGGGAAGAAGGGAAAGAAGAGGGATGGCAGAAAGGATGGAAGTGGAAGGAGGAGTAAAGAGGAAAGGACAGAAGGTCGGAGGTGGAGAAGAGAGGGAAAGGAAGAAGAGAGATGTGAGGAAAGATACAAGATGTTATGGGGAAGAAGGAGACAAAAAAGTGTGGGAGATAGCAAGAGAGAGGGAGAGAAATGAAAAGACAAAGACATTACCATCCATCTCCCTTTCTTCCTTATACAAATCCCTCCTTTAGCCACACCTCTCTCTTTTCCCATCCTTCTCACAAACTTTTCGTCACGGCCTCACCCACTCTGAACTATGAGCGATCGGGGCATTAGATATGAGGTATTTAAGCCTATACGAGGCAGCCAGATGTAGGTATAAAGATGTATGGTTGCCATTTAAAGTCCATTACAACAGTGAAACTCAGACATTTACAATGGCCATTTGTTATAGAAGCTTTCTCACATTAACCAGTTAAAGAGGTCATATTATGCTCATTTTCAGGATCAAAATCTTATTTAGGGGTTGTACCAGAATAAGTTTACATGGTTTCATTTTCAAAAAAACACCATATTTTTTGTCGTACTGCACATTGCTGCAGCTTCTCTTTTCACCCTGTGTGTTGAAGGCTTTGTTTTAGCTACAGAGTGAGGCATCTTGCCCCTACATGATCTTTGTTGGGAGTTGCACATGCACAGTTCCTAGGTAAGGACTACTAGCCAATCAGAAGCAGAGTAGAGTGGGTCGTGAGAGGCCGGTAAACACGGCTTCGGTTCAGCTGTACATGTTCCACTAACCAGCTTAGAAACATAGACTGGAGTTTCAGAGTGGTGAGTTATTAATCTGTAACAAATGTATCTTTAATCAACATCTACATCACAGTAACAACTTTATGTCCATTGACTGCCTGGAGGTTAGCTAGTGTTTGGAAGGGAGAGCAGAGGCAGGAGGCAGACGTCTTATCAGCGTGTGCTGCAGCTCAGCGTTTTTCCACTGGTATTTTTGAGGGCATGCCTTACTAGTCGCTTGGCGAGCATTATTACGCGCATTTTTCTCTGTCGTCACAAGGATGAAAGGGAAATGGCTGGACTACAAACAAGCTGTTTTCAGGCAGTTCAGAGCAGTGTTTTCTGTGGGAGACGGGAACTGCCTTTGGGCTGGACTTAGGTCTTTTTCACTTTGCAAACCTATTCCATTCACAAAAAAGAGATATAACTCAATAAAAGAGAGGGAAAAAGCCAAAAAGCATAATATGACCTCTTTAAGGAAATCCATAAGCTTGTTGGTAAACGAGCTTATTGATCAACTAAGTGTACAATGAGACACAGGAGACATTTTCAATGCTGTGTTTAGCTCTCCTCACTGGTTTTGTTCAAAGGGGTCACTTGCTGGATTTAACATCTGTTTACTTAGGTGGCGCTCTTTTATCTCTTCAGCCACAATGGTTATCCCTGCCAACAACCCAGATCCTTATCAAACCAAAGTTTATTTAGTTTACTTTGCATAAACTAGCTCTGTTTATGTTATAATAATAATGTGTCAGTCAGTATCAGAGAAAGATTAATGGAAACATATTTGTACAAGAGCTCCACCAATACCTATAACTGGATATTATTGGCCATTATTATCACAGATATATTGATATTGGTGTGTATGTTGCCACATATGCAAAAAGAAATTGCAAAAACAATAACAGTAATATATAATAACAGTATTGATCATGAACACACAACATGGAAAAACATTCAATAAACAAAAGAAGCACAAACACAGACCCAAACACAAGCAAGAACACCAGGGCCGTAGCCAGGATTTTAGAAAGTCCCCCAGCAGAGCCCCATCTAATTAAAATAATTATTGACGAGCCACAAACCAAAATCCATGAAATGTCCTTTGTATTTAAACAAAACAACAAAATAGCACATTGTATATACTCACCATGTGATGTTCTAAATGTTGTTTCGTAGCCTTCTCTACACTGCCAGGTGTGGGAGAGAATACTAAATCCCTTTTAATTTAGACGATTAGTGTTTTGCCTTAAATAAAAAAATCAAACAAAACAAGTCTAAAGAATATTAGAATCAGCCTTAAAAACTCAGCCTTAAAAACTCAACATGTGTAAAACCCTCGCACCCAAATTCCCAGAAATGCCATGGCACTGTGTCATCAGTGGTAGGTATGGCCCTGAAGAACACACAACAATATGTGCACATTTTTGCACCCACACACGCACAAACCCAGACACACACAGATACAGATCCTACCTTCTCCCACTCTCTCTCCTTGTTGAGAACAATGACCACCAGCTTTGGGTTTTCCTGGTAGCCGTCTTCTGTGAATGACAAGTCTTTGCCATCCCATGTCACATTCATCATGTACCTGAGAGTGAGGGGAGTAGAGTAGAGGAGCAGGGGGGTGAGGAGTAGTGGGGCACAGAGTGATAAGAAGTAGGAGAGGCAAGGACGAACGGGGGGCAGAGAATGAGGAATGGAAAGAAATGAATGGGGGTGAGGAGAAACACATTAGCATGAATTACATTAGCATGTACCTAAAGCCATAGTATGTCCACACGCGCACACACAACCACACCCACACACACACTGTAATGAGCGACCCATATGGCAGGTCACATTAGCTAAGATGGAGGGCAGTGGGAAGATATTCTTGGGTCCACATAGCCTCCACATTAATCATGGCTGTCCTTCTCCACTCTATCTTCCTCACTCCTTCAGTCAGCGGTCATGTACAACAAGGGGGAGACAGCTCCTCTTTTCTTCCTCTTCTGCTCCGTTCTGGGGCCGGGCAACAGGGCACACTTCTAAATGGAACATGCACCCATGTGATGTGTCTTTGAAAAGCCACAGTGGAAGCGCTGCAGGTGAGCTGTTTCATGCTGTGTAGGACATTGTGGCTGCACCGTATGAAGGTGGTACCAATGCAGGGCACAAATTGTGCTTTTATCATTTGACACCTTGAATACTAATCTATGATAAAGACATTTATCAGACAAAAAAAGGTAAATCTGCAAATAACACGGAAATCCCTTTCATTCAGTTTCTTTAAAAAAAAAAATCATCTATTTCTCTCTGATCTATTCCTCTAATTCTCTGCTTGTCTGTCCCTACAAAACTTTAATGTATTATCTTTGATTGGCAAGCAATTGGTTATCAATTTAGGTCCATAATGCCACATTAACCAACACATGACATACCAGATGAAACTGTAATTGTCACTATACTATAACTGCACATTTTCTTGAGATGCTGTTATATTCAGATCCACACAGTTACACAGACCAGCAGTTTAGATGTTTTTTATTTTGTATGTCTTAATTATAACACTTTATTATTAAGAATTATAATGCATATGACAGCATATGACATCATGCATTATCCACATGTCCCTTTAAATTGCAACACACACACACACAAACACGCATTCTACGCTTTGCAACCATCTAAGACATGAAGACAGACTCACACACCACTTTTACACACTAACTCTTCTGTCTGTGTACTGTACATTTTGCTCTCCTTTGTTGTTCATTTGGATTATTTTCACTCACTTGCATGCTCTTATTTCTTTTGACACGAGCCAGCAAAGAAAAGATTATTCACAGCATTAATACTGAGGATGTGATGTAACTCTGATGTAACAATGCCAAAACTTGGGCTGGATGTTTAAAGCTTATTACTATGTTGAGTAGGACATCCTGTAAGGTGAGTTAGTAAACTAAATGGTAGAACTGATAGGGAGCAGGCAAGGATGATCAGCGTCAATCTTTCTTTCTTAAAACACTGATATTTATATTTAGTGTTAAATTTACTTATTAATTCCTGTGTAAAAATCCCCAGCCAGTGACTAGCCTGCAGGTTAAACTTTAATTCAAGTGAAAAGTGTGAATTTACAGCCTCTCAGTATCTCAGTTGAAACCATTTTTTTGTGTGATTTAGGTTGATAAAAGCAGTGCGGTTTTTCATTAAGATTGTGTCTAATGCAGCCTTAAAGAGCTGGTATTATACTTTTTAGCTTTTTCCCTCTCCTTTATTAAGTTATATACCTTTTTTGTGCATGTAATAGGTTTGCAAAGTGAAAGAGCCTAAAGTCCACCCCAAAGGGAGTTCCCATCTCCCACAGAAAACCCTGCTCTGAACTGCTTGAAAACAGCTAGTTTGTAGTCCAGCCGTTTCCCTTTCATCCTTGTGATGTCACAGGGATGAAAGCTAAATTCGCCTCATATAACGCTTGCCAAGCCGCTAGTCTGGCACACCCTCAAAAACACCGGTGGAAAAACACTGAGCTGCAGCACACACCTCCTCTCCCTTAGCTAACCTCCAATTTGCTACTGTGATGTAGAGACAGAGCTTTATGGATGAAAGATACTTTTGTTACAGATTAATAACTCACCACTCTAGCTCCAGTCTATGTTGCCAAGCTGGTCGGCAACATGTGGCCTAAAGCTGAATCGAAGCAGTTTACTGGCTTCTCACTGACCTGCCCTTCCCTGCATCTGATTGGCTAGTAGTCCTTAACTAGGAACTGCGCATGTGCAACTCCCATCAAAGATCATTTAGAGAGAAGATGTATCACTCCTGAGCTAAAACAAAGCCTTCAACACAGGGTGAAAAGAGGAGCTGCAGCAATTTGCAGTATGAAAAGAAATATGGTGTTTTTTGGAAATTAAACCATGTAAACCTGGTTCTGGTACTACCCCTAAATAGGACTTTTAACCTGAAAATGAGTATAATACCACCTCTTTAAAAAATCATGTATATCTGAAATTCATTTCAATTAAACCCTAGACATTAACTTTTCCACATAAGCTAAGTCATGATTATGCACCACTGTTAAAACAGCCTATTTGATACACATAACAGAATTATTATTATAATGACTGCTGTAAATATACGCATCACTAGCTGTTCATGTGAAAATCAAAGAGCATCATTATAGTATTGAACTAAAATAACAGGATGCAGATAGGACAGGCAGACATGAGTGTGTATGTGTCCGCAAATATATTTGGGCTGATGCCCATCGAACAGGTGCACCTGACAGGGCGTTGCTAGGATACGGGCACGGACTGGAGTGTATACTCTGCAAGATGACCCTAAACAAACCCTGAATGAACATCCCTGCGCACACACACACACAGAAACACGGACAATTACTTTGCCCACCTCAAGAATTCTCCACCTAATGTTTCCTCTCCCCTGTAGCACTGAGATCATAGTAAAGTGATCCAATTTCTCTCACTTTCCAGCCTCCATTATATCAGTAATCTCTCTATTCATTAGGGGGGGCGAGGAGTGGGTGCGGAGGTGGTACGAAAGCGGAGAAGGAACACCCGAAAAAAGTGAGAGAGAGAGCATAAAGATAAGAGAGACGGAAAGAGGAGAAGCATGACAAGAGAGGAAGAGGACTAAGCCTCGACAGAGTTAGGATAAAAATATCTCCTGTGTTATTTTTTCCTCCCTTCCTCTTATTTTGGAGTAAAAGGGGGTTTGCAATGGGAGGGGCGCACTGCACCCAGCACTACACGTTTATTGCAGCAAGCAAATAAGAGCACAAATATACACTGCATTACAGCAGCCAGGGCCAAACACAAATGCAAAAATCTCCATTTAAGCTGTTTTCTTAATCCTGCACTCGTGAACAATGAAGATTAATTTTGTTAATTATAAGAATCAATGACATTACCAAAGCTATTGAGCATTTTCTTACACAGACCAGATTTCACAACAGCCAATCTTTCTTTCTGGCAGCAGTACTATGTCCTGTCCTGTCAAAGGCTGCATTTAGACAGCAGGCCAAAGTGACCTAATTAAATGTTTTGCCCTTAAGTGACTCAGATCTGATTTTTTATAACAATGTGAACAGCCCAAGTTACACAAAATCGTTTACAGGTCAGATATGGGCCACTTTCACATGTGGTCCAAATCAGATTCAGGTCAGATTTTTTGAAATGCGACCCTAAGTCTGGACAGTCAGATGATATTCATGTGACTTTCCAACCCGTTCTCACTCCCCGACTCTACACATACGGACATTTGGTCAAGAACCATCAGCGTCAGTTTGTAATGCGCTGGTTACATAGTTCATAGTTAAAGCTAAAGGGGTTAAAAAGCGACGCCAAAGGGCCTTGACCAAGCGTCAAAATGTGACAAGTCGGGAGTGAGAATGAGTTTGTCTCTGACGTCATTCTATAGCGACCGTTGTCACAGTGTTGCGTCACCTGCATGCTTCTTGTCGGAAACCGGAATCGGAAACAGTAGAGAGAGAGAGAGTTATAGGGCTTATACGCGTCCTGTGCCAGAAACTGTAATCAATGCAATGAAAAGGACACAAAGTTGTGAACATTTGTCATAATTTGGAAGAAATACAGGAAATCAGAAGAACTGTGACCTCGGGAGGAAACCAGGAGAGGGCATTGAAAAATGGGAGGCTACAATGAAAATGGGGAGGGTATGAGCTAACCTCTGTTTACCTCTGTTAGATTTTTCTTTTGTGCATGCAGGTTACTTTCAGACTGTGGCCAGTTCCCAATAGAGTCTGATATGGGCCACATTTAAAAAATGATATGAACAGTTAATCAAAAAAAATTGAATCTGGGCAAAAAAAATCTGAATTGAGCATTAAGGCTTCTGAGTTGCTCTGGATGTGCGCATGTTTATAAAGGCCATCCTTTGTGATAAGAACTCTAAATTCTACATTTTATCTGAAGAGCCTTTACTGTAGGGAAAAGAGTCTCTGCAAAGATGTTAAAATGAATTGTATAATGTGTACATGGCCGGATTTACTAACACCCCGAATAAAGAGTACTAAATTGCGTGTGCATTCTAAAAAATTGCACGTGTAATTGTAATACCTGTTATGGGTGATTAACTAAGAATTATCGCGTAGATGATGAAACAGGTGCAAACACAATGGAGGTGGCAGTATTTAAATTAAGGTTTTGCATGTTTTAATGGTTTCCGCCATGGAGAGTCGGGAAGGAAAGCAGCCACTGTGTAAAACCTTGGTTTATTTCATTCAGTGCTTCCCAAGTATGTGGAAATTGTATGTAACGCCCATCCTGGCTAAGATTGCACTACGTAGTTGAAACCCCAGCAGAAACAGATACAGTATGCTGGAATGACCCAGACGTGAGGACAGGGTGCGAACTATGGGGGAGTCAGGGGGAATAAGACTTGAGCTCCCCTAAAACATTTGTGAAATTTTGGGGGTTCTGTAAAATATTGACAGTATGCTTTTTGACTCCATATTTCTGTATCATCATGAATCATGCGTAAAATCAGCTGCTTCATCCAGTCAGAGGTAACGATCACTGACCGTCTGCAGCGTGCCTGGTCGCTCCGCGATCTCCTGGCCCTGGCCCT